GCATGTAGATGAGCGGGAAGGAGCCCGCCTGAGCACGCCACACACCAACAAGATGCATTTCTTGTCGTCTGCGTTGCACGGAATGAACGATTGATGGGTGATTCAGCTGCAGCAGTGTCGAAAATGCTCCGTGTGCTGATAGCCTTGAGCAGCTTCGGGGAGACGATTTGGATAAAGATAATTGGTACATTTCGCCTAGCTTGTTGGTCTTGGGTTCAGGCTTGTACTTGAGGCCAGGTATTGATTGCTTCCTTATGGCACCTGGTTTTGCTCCAAACCTGAAGCAGCACCGTCTTTCGAAAACGATATTTGCGAAACCCGCGGGCGACCCTACAGAGCCCCAAAGCAAGAATTCCTGCCCCACCCCGGTCAGATCTGCTGCCTCTGCAAATCCGATCAGCAGGCGACTCAGGACCAGCCTTTTCGGTTTAGGCGGTCTCTAGAGGGCAACATCTTTAAACAACGCACGAACAGCAAACACCAACAACTCAAAAACAACCATGGCTTGTCTTGCGACAAGTCCTCAAACACAAAGGAAACAATAACAAACATTCAATGAAACCACACGTTCCGCAAAACATAGTGGTCCACTCAAAAAACAACGCGAAACACACCGGTTCCGGTGCTTGTGCTGGTGTGATATTGTTATTGTTATTGTAGTTGCTACTGTTGTTGTTGTTGTTGCAACTGGTACTGTTATTGCTACTGTTACTGCTGCTGTTGCTAATATTGTTGCTGTGGTTGTGGTTGTGGTTGTGGTTGTGGTTGCCGTTGTTGTTGCTGTTGCTGTTGCTGTTGCTGTTGCTGTTGCTGTTGCTGTTGCTGTTGCTGTTGCTGTTGCTGTTGCTGTTGCTGTTGTTGTTGTTGTTGTTGTTGTTGTTGTTGTTGTTGTTGTTGTTGTTGTTGTTGTTGTTGTTGTTGTTGTTGTTGTTGTTGTTACTTTTGTTGGTGTTATCGGTGTTGTGGATGTTGTCATCGTCGTCGTCGTCGTCGTCGTCGTCGTGATCGTCATCGTGATCGTGATCGTGGTCGTTGTTGTTGCTGTTGCTGGTGGTGGCAGTAGGTGCTTGTTGGTGTTTGTGGGTGGTTGTTGGTGGCCGGCGTTTTTTGATTTGTTGTTGTTGTTGGGTGTTATTGTTATTGTTGTTGTCGTTGTTGTTGTCGCTGTCTCAAGGCCCCCGGCGCGAAGCTCGTTAAGTCATTCAATGGGTAGAGCGGTGAAGCACCGCCCACACGCTCGAGCTCCAAACACCAAAGTGCAGCTGCAGTCCTTGCCCCCAAGAGACCACCTCACAATTCCCCAAGCCGAATTCCACCTCGAACAACCGGACCTTCATTACAAGCTCCACCTGCATCTCTCAACATCGAGGCCAAAGGCTTTAACTCTCAAAGCCGTGGAGTCTTAACCGGGTCTTAGCCGTCGAAGGCGCTCCGTGGCAGAGTCCACCCATGCAGTGAGCAGAGTCGCGCAGCCCCACAGTGCGACCTGCAGGCATGTGAGGCATGTGGTTTTTCTCCTCAAAGCCAGGAGGTGAAGAGAGAAACCCAAGAGTGGATATGGCAAGAAGATTGGGTTAGAACAGAAGAAAGCCGGTGTCTGGTCTGTCTCGTCGCAGTGCTACAGTTCTTAAGCCGAAGTTGGAGGTTGGAATTGCGATCATGTCGACCCTTGGAACCGCGGCACCACTGCAGCCAGCCACAAGCGAACGCCCAGCCGTTTGGCGATCCATGCATGAGGCCACTGGAAACAAACCTCGGTTTGCCACCCCTTTTCTCTTTCTCTGACCAGCCTTGCCTTTGGTGCATGTCCATCATGTGATCACTGCTCTCCGGACCGAGTGCAGCCACACATTCCCAGAATGAGCCGTGGGGCATAAGTGTAAAAAAGTGCACTGCTCGCTGCCCCATAGCCGACATCATCCATTCCGAGCCTGCCAGCCAATTCTTCACGCAGGGTGAGGGTTTCAGGTGCAAAGGTTAAAATGCCAAGGTCGGCCAGGTTCAGAGTGCATGCTTTCCTGTGTCTGCGAGCTGCAAAAAGATACTGAGCTTCCCAACAATGCCGTCAGCCAGACCAGGAGTCGCAAGAAAAACGAAGCGTTTTCGACAGAAGCAATGAATGCAGAACAGCTTTCAGAGACCACCGGGAATACAACCTTTGGGGATCTCCGTTTGCATCGACAAGTGAGTTTTAAGCCAACTGCAGGAGGCCTCTGCTTCAGCCCCTCGGCAGCATAGCTGATGTTTCCACGGTCCAGGTAGTTGGCAACCGTCACCTCTGCGAAACCCAGTATGCGTCAGGAAAACCGAGCGCTACAGCTAGATTTGACGTTGAACCGCTGACGTGCTGAGCATCGAGCTTGGCGTGGAAACGTGGAGACTTGAGGTTTTCCCGGGTTCTCTGGCCGAGCTGTCTGCCCGATTAAACCTGTGTTGTCGGCGCCTGAGATGCTCCTGTTTCCTGAAATGCCGACGAAACAGCATCTGTTTAACCTATTTGCCGATTGAAAGAAACCGAGTCGCGAGAACAAAGATGGGGAGAAGCCGCTTCTTGATCTTCCAAGCAGCCTGACAGGCTTGGTCTATCGAAAAAAGACGAGGCTGACGGCATGGCGACTCTTCGCAGCAACTCTGTCCTCCGTACCTTCCGGCCGTGACGGCATCCTCGTTTTAAGCCGAAGGGAAAACAGTATGTAGTCAGCTGAAGAGCACATGAGAAAAAGAAACAACAACACCCCATCCTGCCAGCACTTGCTTCCGCCACATCACTCAAGCCTGCCTTGGGGTTGCAAGACAGGCGAAGTCCGCCTGCTCCCAACACCTCCTCAATCCGGAGCCAGTAAGCCACATTCCCAGAACACCAAATCTGAAAGCCCTCAGAAGCCAAAACAGCACCGTTCCGCACGCGAAAGAACCACAAGGACGGAACATAGCCTAGCGAAAGAACACCAACACCCACGGAATGGCCTCAGTCGCTAGCATCGAAAGTGAATCAGCAGGCGCAGCCTCTCGATCTGAAAACTGGTAACGAATGTTCATGCTTAAAGTCTTGTAGACATCGGTCAGAACTGGGTCGTGTCAACTTCCATCCGGCTAGACTACCATGCGCTGCTCCGGCTTGGCCACGGGAGTACCAGGTCAAACAAGCGGTTTCTATGGCACCTCCAAGCTTGTAGTCTGAGCTAGACTTGTGGACCTGCTGCTTGAGGTCGTGTTGAGGGCCCTGGAGAGAATGTCCAAGATTCTGCTCATGCACACAAAAACCCAAACACCATGCACAGCCTCCGAACTCTCTTCAACCCATCACCCGACATTCGTCAGCTAAGCTCGGCGCCTTCGTCATTCTTACAGCGACTGAAGGCCGGAGGTTTCGTGTGAGCCGAGAGCTTTACATCGAAGTCTTTCCGGGGCTCAGGGTCACAAGCTGAAGACATAGCTTTTATGGCATGGGAGGTCAGCGTTTAGCAGCTCCGGAACGTTGGCTTGTGCTACTTTGCTAAGTCCCGGAGCGGGGTGTCCGAGGATTTGGTGGAGGATGTGCGAACGCGAGTTTGAGAGCCGCAGCGATGAAGGAGAGCATTCGGAGCTTTGGTGTCAAATTCGAGGTATCTGCCTCAAGCACTTCAGTTCTCCTCGCCAAACTCAAATTCTGCTGGCACAAAAGACAAATCCGATGCAGAGTTGCTCAGCTACAGTGCAATCAGGACGTGATAGCTGCGCCATACTAGAGGGATGACGCGAATACAAAGCCTGATGAACGTATCTCTGGAAGCTGTGGGTCCAGCAGAAATCGGGAAACAAGTTGCCAACCCGCAACTTGAAGCTGTGAAATGCACCCTGAGATCTCGGCATGCATCTCTTCGCCTGAATGCTTCGGTTGCACCTGGACGCAACTCCATGTTTCAATACCGCAGTCTGTCAACCGTCGAACTACGTCAACTACGTGCCCTTCAACAATTCCAGAGAAAGCTGGTACGAGTATGTGCCATGTGAATAAGGACTCGCTCGGATCTTGTCAGCATTTTCTGGGGCTGCCGGCGCCAACTGTTCTGTCTTCCCAAATCGGTATTGAATTGAAAGTGAGTACCCGGTTTGCCGATGATTCTCCAGCCAAGGGCCAAGCCAGCGACTGCTTGTAGGAGGAGAATTTGATGCTGTGGGGCACCTTCCCACAGAAGCTGAGCCACACCCACAAAACAAAGAGTGCCCTCAGCACTTGCAGTCATCCTAATATAGTCATCAGTCCACAAACCAGCTAGACAAGGGCAAAGCTAACAAGTGCTTTTTATGCGCATAAGAAGCACTGCTTTTTTCCGCGACACTGAAACTACGACGCCCACAGCCTTCGTTTGCGTGACGATACCGTCGGAGACGTAGGCCTTAAACTCGAAGGATACTTCCGGAGCACAAAAACCGTGGACATCGACTTGCTTTTGTGCTTCATATTTTGGTCTTTTCGCCTTCACCTTTACAGGCCACAGCATTCAGAAGAGTGATGGCTAATGTCCATGTGTGGCGCTGTCGTAAACCACGCATGTCCTTCAAAACCTCACTCCCAAATTACGGGGGCACGGCCCTTGTATCATGAAAACAACTCACATCATCCAAACGCAGTACTTTGCATGGTTTTCTATCAAGGCAAGAAGGACTGTGGACGTCTCCTCTCCCTCTCCTCTCCCTCCTCTCCCTCTCTCTGTTCTCTCGAGATTTTGAGCCAGCCCTGGCGTTCCCTGAAACTCCCTGTGATCAAGACCTGACAAGGAGAGGAGGAGAGCCGCCGTCTTTGGGGACTCGGCTTAAAAAGAAATGAAAACGACGACAAATGCGAGCTTCTGCTCGGTATCATCCCCAAATCCACACCCCAACACCCCATCCTCACCTTCGTGATTTTTTCGAGGTTCCTGCGCTGTACCCTGTCGTGTCCTCTATCGAGAACGAGTAGGGTCCTGCGGGAGATTGAAGGGACGCTGAGGGCGTTGATCTCGGTGGTTCGGATGTAGTTAGGGTGCCTCTCGATGTTCCGTGTAAGGATACACGCGGCAACCCCTCCTAAACCGCCTCTTTCCCTGCAAGCTGAAGGCGTTGGAATACTCTTCAACTCCCGTCATAGCTGTACGTCGAGGGCTTAACGTTACAAAAGTCCAACACAGCTGAACAAGGCCTTGTAGAGCTGGGATCCAGCATGAAGGTGTGCGGGGATGTGCAGGAATTCGGAAAATCGCAGGCGTCCCATGGATTGCAACGAACTGGACCTTATGTCCAAGTGCACTTCTCCCGGACAGCTCCATATAAAAGGACCCCATGTCGTCAAACCCAGGCACATCAACCCTCAGCCCGGATGGTGTTCCTGTGACCTTGATTTGCCTGGGCTTGCCATCGTTGAGCTGCGTCATGCCTTGGACCTGGCCAGGCCATTGCTTCGAGAGCTCTAAAGCCAAAGCTTCGAGAAGCCCTTAGAGCCGAAGCTATGGCTATAGCCTGCTATGGCAATGTTGAGGCTATGATGCCATTGATGCCCCACTCCCGGGGCAGAAGCGCTGTGGAATTTGGGAACATCAGCCTATCCCAAGAGGGTCGAAGACGCCTCCCGGAAAACAACCCAGTCGCCATCGTTGAAGCCATGACGACGGTCCTGGTGTGTGTGCACCTGGAAGGCTCGCAAGGAGGGTTGGGGGTGTAAATGTGGGACTTCGAAGCCACGGCGACACGGCTCTGAGTCTCGTTTGCCTCGAGGTTTGGGTTTGCACTAGCCTGTCTCAGGACTCAGCCAAATCATGCGACTCTGCTAAGTCAAAGTCGAGGCACCGTGCCGGGGCTCTCGAGCGTGACACCGGAGACTATAGCGCTTCGTGGCTCTTCGCCGTCCTGCATGATCGCTAAGATTGTCAACATAAACGAGGCGGCAATAGAACTCCACTCCTGGTAAGTGCAATTAGTAACCACGGACACAAGCAGCAGCAGAACTGTTACCTTCAACATAAAACTTGTCGAAGCGGTCCTTGTCATCGTCATCGTGATCTCGATCAGTCTTTACCGACGGCATTGCACTTGCATCGTCATTGCATGATTACCGTCATCCAAAGGGACACTGTAGGGATCCTGAATTGAACCCCGTAGAAGATACCTTCGAATGGTGCCACAAATCGCATGCCTTTGTGGAGCCGCGGTTTTGTTTTTGGGCTAACAGGGCTTCAATAGGAATCCGCAGAGACTCCAACGGGGACCGACCCTCGAACGAAAAGGAAGGAGGGCATCCCAACATGAGACCCTAAAAGGGACCCTTCAAAGGGACCCTAAATGGGAGCTAGTAGTATGAACCCGAGACCTTACAAGGGACCCTTAAAGCGACCCTAGACTCAACGAACTCCTAAGAGAATCCACCCTCATAGGAGCGCCACAATGCCCTAAAAAGGGACCTTCAGTGGACACATCACCGCATCAAAACCATTTTGCTCGGCATCCCCGTCATCACAAGCGCCCGCATGCACAGTGTTTTCTTGACCATCACCGTGATCATCGCAAGATGGCTTCCGTTCACGACCAGTCATGCTCACCATCATCGTCATGACCACAACGAGCTGCTAGCCCAGCGACATGAACCCTTCGACCCACCTTGTCCCGGCATGTGAACGACTCCCCAAAGTCGACAAAAACCGAGGAGGCAAGCCTCGAAGAGGTGCGCAACGATGAAGGTACATGAAGTGAGGCTGCATATGGTGGGTTCTAGACTGTGTAAGCTATACATGACCAGCACATGAAAACATCAACGGAACATGGGGCGATGAAATACAGTGCAGTACGATCAAGAATATGGCAGGCCCTTGAAGCTTGAATGCGCCATGGCGCCATGGACACTGCAAGCCTTCCATGCGTGGCAGCACGAATAGCTCCATGATTTGCAGGAGTTGATGTATTTTGCTAGCCGGTCTTCTTCCCAGCAGATACAACCTCGGTAAAGGCACTTTTATTGGTTAATCCAGACACCGGGCAACTGTGTCTAAAACAAAACCGAGCCCCGGCGAATCCAACCACTAACCAACTTGAATTCCCAACTGTCTCCGATACCAACACTCCATTTGCGATACCAATGAGCCGCCCTCCAAGCCATCCCAAAGCCTGGAGACTCCGAGCTGAGCTCCTGGCCCAAAACAGTCCGCGGCGATGAAGCCAACAGGTGGATTTCGAGTCCGGCAAACTTCATTCCACCTCCACGTCACCAAAAACGGACATCGTGTAATTCTGGTTCCGGCTTGGTTCCCGGTTTCCTCGCAGTTTTTTGTCTGTCAGGAATTTGAAAGAGTGCAGTATCCAGGGCGCCGCGGCCTAGCAGGCATGCAAACTCAATCCGGACGGCAGCAAGTCTATTCTTTTGCCATTGCAAACCTTTGACTCTATGTTTCCTTGCGTGAAGGTCGCTGAAAGAGTCTGCAGCTCATTCAGTAGCAATAAGATTTTAAATCCGGCATACGAAAACACAAACTTGTAGGGACATAACAACCTTTATGTGTCAATGCATGCACATGTCCACAGAGAGAGCTGTGCAAACACCCCAAGTCGTGCTTCAAAGGAGCTGGCTCGGTTTGAGAAGAAGACCCCGAGCATAGATCTCCCAGCTGATGGGAAGTCGTCGTAGGCATGGTCTACAAATATGTGCGCACATCATCTTGGAAAGAAGTACATGCCGAATGCCAGTCAAAGCATCAAAGAAACGGAAGCCCTGCGGCCACAGTAAGAAAACGAACCACAAGCTGGCATCAGCACCACAGGCACTGCTACAAGCCTCAACAGCTCCGACTGGCTCGTCTCGGAAAAGACGACCAGGGAGACCCCTGACAAGAGCTCCTCGGTCAGCGGCCTGAGCATGGCAACGCATGTTGCGTTTTTTTTCTGAGCCTCTGGGCTCTGCGTAGTTCTGAAACTTTCTAAGACCTTCTTGGCTTTCTTGGGTCTTGGGTCTTGTGCTATGTGGGCTTCACGGGAATCCGGATCCGGGCCGTTTGGGCCTGTGGCGGTCCTGTTGGGTCTTGGAGTCTTTGTGTCGGCTTTCGGTCCCTCACAGTTTTCTCTCGTCCCCAAACTTCCCAACACATGTGCTGACAACATGGGTAGATGCATTTCGACGCTTCACTACTCGGCTTCCCCCAGGACTCAGCTTGCCACCCCTGATGCGTCCGCACCGAAACGTAAGGATTGAGCCTTGGCGCCGCGAGTAGGGCGCTCTCAGGATGCAGGGTGCTTCTCGGAATTGCAGCTTCAGGCTGCAACACATTTCTTTTCTGTTTCTGGACGCTCCAGGAAAGCTAGCCCTCAGTCGACTTTTAGACGACAAATGATCTGAACGATGTAAGGAGAGGGCATCACCTTATGCAGTCCTGAACCCTTGAAGATGAACTCAGTCTGACTGTACCACTGCTGTCGCCCATAAACCTCCTTATCCTAAGGACCGGATCCCCTCCGAACGCACCAACAAAGAGATTCAGGCGGTTTGAGTGAACTGAGCCGTTTGTGCTGGCAGCCCATACCCACTGATACCCTACCCCTAAAACCCAGAAACAACCCGGCTCTCGCCTATCACATCACCCTTCACCATGCAGCCCGAGGCCCCAAACGATGGATCTTGTACTGTAACGGCCACTGTAGGCTTGTCATTCTCAACGGGCTTACAAAGCCTTTCGTATCTCTCCCCTGAGATGGCCGCTCGGACAGCTGCTTGAGGCTTGCCTCCACTCTTGCTGGCAGAGTTAGCTAGGTGAAGCCCTGGTGACCTCGGCACCGTGTCATCTAGCCTAGACTCCTGAAGCCTAAACCTAGAAAAGGAGGCGGGCCAACATTTGCAGAGCTCGCAAGTACAAGCATGACTGAAACTACAGGCGTGCAGGGTACCCGGACTCATGTAGTGCTCGGCATCTTGCTGAGGGCATCGGACAAACTGTTTCGCGAGGCCTGACGCGTCCTTAGAGCTGCAGCCTTCAACCCGCTAGGCCGCTAGGAATACACCAAGTCGCGTCCGCGTAAAGCTTGGGGTACGGGAACGGCGGCAAGGTGACTGCGGTGCCTCGGCCCGTGTCCGACTGCCCACATCCTGCTCTGTCAGGTAGAAGTTGGCACCCAAGTCCCGCCTTAGCGTATGCAGTCCTTGAGCCGCAGAGTCGTGAACTGCAAGTCGCACCCAAAATTTTACAGGAAACGAGACGCCTATATCTTCAAGCTTGAGCAGCGTCCTAACCCGTACACCCTCAGCCCCAAACATTTCGATCCACGGTTGGATTCTCAGAAGACCTTGAACACAACAAACCTGTCGGGGCTGATGGACATCGGATCTAGGAGAAGGGTTCTATGGCCACCAGAGCCGCCTTTGGGTTCCATGATATGCTGAAAGAACCCCTTGCCCTTTCGATAGCTAAGCTATGCCGGGAGATCCCGGGCCGCCGGGGCTTCCAAGCCGGGAGGAGATGCCACCGTGGAGGGTTTCTTGTCCAGGGCTCAGGCCTACCAAGCCTTTCTGAACATTGTCGTGCAGTCGGTGGTTTCGGCGTTGGAGTGTCTACTCAAACGCGGCAGGTCCTAAACCCTGCAGTGACTGCAGACGAAGGGACAGCTCTTATTGTCTCAGATCTTTAGACCCAAGACCACCAGCCCCCGTGCTGAAGACTCTACCTCCCCACTTGTTCGTTCCGAAACCAGACCAGAGTTGATAGGCCCGCTGCTGCTCAGCAATCGAATCATCATGCAGGATCACCTAAGCTGGGCGAGGAGGGCCCAAGGCACTCGATATCCTTGAGACTACCACAGAGCCAAATATATTTGAGGCTCTGATTAAACTAATCTTGTTGTTGGCGGTTGGGGGAGGCGCGAAGGCCTTGACTGACATGAATTGTCAGCGCGAAAAAAAGCTGGCTGTTCTGCTGGACTCCCAGTGCACGGCCTGCCCAAATACACAAAGCAAACTCCTGGGCTTTTCCGGGATAAAGGGCGGCTCAGCCAACCCTAAAACGTACCTTCTTCAGCCCTCAAGCTTCAAGACACGAAAACGGATACGTTTTTCTCCGCAGCCTTTACCCAAGCCTCTCATCGCTGTCCATGCCCAGGACTCGACGAGCTTTCAAGGTTCTGGCTAAACTTGTCAGTCGTGGATGTTATTCCTGTGTTGGGAAGCCAGTCTGCTCTAGACCCCAGCCCTCCAGCTCTGTATCCCAGAGGCTCTCTCTCTCTCTCTCTCTCTCTCTCTCTCTCTCCGGAATCGTTCTGCATGGGCACAGAACTGCTTTATGGGGACGAAGTTGCCGTACAAAGGCCCCAAGGTTCTGGCCATAGCAGGTCCGGCGAGGATGAGGTTCTTGGCGACCTCGACCTGTGTCGGGATCGCCATGAGGCCAGGGGTCTTACAGAACCCCTGAGCCCACGAGCCCACGCTCCCTGATCCACCGACCGCCTGAACCGTACCGAAGTATCGAATCTGCAACCCAGAGGTTTCTATCCTGCGCTCTCCGCCAGGAAAGCCATCCGAATCCATTGTACCCTGAATCTGGAAACCCTGATCCTGGAACCCTAACTAGCAGCAGGGTCCAGTTTCAAGGTCAGGTTCTTGCGGAAAAAGCTCAACACCGAAGACCCGAAGCCCTGGCCTTAGGCCGAAGTCTTTGGGCCTTTCCGGGTGATCGTTTCTAGATTGGTTTCGGTTTCTCTCCTGTCTACTTTGACATGTTGGCCAGCAGGTGCCTCTCGGTTGTCCCTTCAGTGGCGACACTTTGTGTTTACGACACCCTGAGAACATCACTGCCCGCTCTGTATTCTTGGATCCTCCAGACATCCAAGGTCGCAACATATCCGAAGCAAAATCCAGAACCAGAATATTGAAGCTGTAGCAAGCCTCCAGACGTGCACCCGGCGCATTTCAAGCTCGACCCTCGACCCAGTGCATTCTGGGGTGTCCGGCTCCTAAACCCCGCAGGCCGGAGATGAGGACCTCGCGCAAGATTGAGGGGGACAAAGCTTGGGGGCTAGGGCTTGGGCTTCCGAGCTCAGAGTCGCGGGGAATGATCGGGATGCGACTTGCCACCTATAGCATCCCACCCGTATGTTGCGTCTTCGGCTTCAGGTTTGAGAGTTTACCTGAAGGGACGGATTGCTTCGCAGCAGATGAGCCTAGGCCGAAAGCGGCGATCTGGATGTGAACCCGCCCGGTGCTGCACATCTTCCAGTTTTCCACTCTGGATTTAGAGTCTAGAGTGCTCCCACCAAGTTCGTTGTCAAGTTTCTCATCTTGAGGTCACTGCCGAGGACGTGACTTGGGAGATCCTGGAAGAAACCAATCTCCAACCCGATACATCTCCGACCGATCTTAGCGAAACCCGTGCTGCTGCCAATGCTAGGAAGATCGGCCTTCATCTGGATGAGCTTCCCCATGGTCTCCATGCCGAAGGTACCGATCTGCCGGCTGTACAAGTTGGTGTCGATCACAGTCTCCGACCTTGCCAAGACTCGCAGCGGCAAGAAGGGAGTGAATCGCACCGGGTTCTGCAAGCAATGAAGCCCAAACAAGCCCTGGCCACACAAACCTGCACGTCTCCGACCACTGGCCCAAACAGGCTCAAAGCTGCTGCCGTCGTTCACGCAATGTTCTGTCTGTTGCTTCGCAGCCTTCGCTCTTCCTCCTACGATCCTTTGGGGTATGTGCAAGTGCCCCAAGATATCAACCATAATCTGGCCATGCTGAACATCCCCGCGTAAACACACAAGAATCTGCATCCGAAAGGTATCCGACGACTTCCGCCGCAACTGCGAGCTTCGGAGTGCTACTTCGCAGAAGTGGGCACTGGTCCCAAGCCAAAGCAGTTCCCCCAAACCCCTGTAGTAACACCTCAAAGCTCTGTGCGATACCCCACACTGTGTACCTTACACGCCTCTGAACTCAGAACTCCTGGGTCCTGGCATCCTGGCAGCGATAGAATGAATTCCCGGTGCTCGTCGGCTTTAAAGCCTGGGCCGACAGGCTTCAATCATCTTCAACCCCTTCAAGACTGCACATAACGTCCGTTGCTTAAAATCTCAACATGCAGGCGGGCAACATGAAGCAAGCCCTCCAAGGCCGACATGCAAACTGGCTTGAACCGCTGTCAGGTTTCCGGTATGGATCCTCCCTGCCCGAGCCTGGACCCTGAGACTGTCCAAAGCCACGGTGTCGATCGAAACCATCCGAGTAGCGAAATGTCAAGCACTACATCAACCTCATCAAAGTGATACTTCACAGGGTTCAGGTAAGTTTAGCTTTAGGCCACATGCTCTGTCTAGAGTTGGAGTTGCAACTCGTGCAGGCCGGATCCTTTAGGCTCTCAGTCTGTAGTTTTCCTGCTGACAAGCATGCGATGTCATGCGCATGTGATGTGGAGCGACTGGGATAGGGAACATTTCCAACGTAAGACCGAGCGATGCTCACCTTTGGAAGTCGTGAGTATAGGTTTTGAACGACTTGGCTCTGTAGTGGGTCATTGAAATGCAATTCTTGTCAGAGGCTCCCGTGCAGCTTTTTGTGGACCCTCTGCCTCACTCGCGTTGCGCCTGTTGCGCTGTCTTGTGCTCTTGTGGGCATGGGATTCTACTCGCATGCCCCTCATAATAAGGATGACGAGCACAGTCGAACTTAAGCATAAAGAGCCATTGATACACTGCTGACGGGTTCAACCCCGAGTGAGAATGAACGAAGTGCAGGATCTTCAAAACTAGTCTACATGGAGTCCTGAATCTCAACGGCCCATGCAGCAGAGGCATGCGCTGCTTTGCGGGCCAAGCTGGAGACAGCGGCCCCCTCGCTTCTGCTAGCCCTCGGCACTTGCAGGTTCTTCCTTCGGCTTGAACAAGCCAATAAATCAGCCACTGTCGAACTCAACGTAACTTTGCATCACTGACTGGAATACTGGAACCAACCTGACCACAGATGCAAGCTAGCTGCGTGGATGTATCCGCAAGTGGAAGGGGCGAGAACTCTTCACTTCTTGGAGTGCAGGATGCAGGCTCGGTTTCCAACCGCAGTCGTTAGGGACACAGCGCACCGTGCCACTTCCAGCCCCTGACATAACCTGTTTGCTATATTTGGCCATGGTGAACATTACCCCAACGTTAACTAAAGCTATCAACAGCCGTAGTACTCGGACGGATGAGTCGCACCCTGCTCACCAATGGACGGCCGCATCGAGCGCTCCGGACTCCCATCGGCAATATTCGGCACTGATTATCTGATTGGGACTGAGGAGTCTGAGGGCCGGCTGAATTGAGAAACCTGAACCCATGGAAGTCTGGGAGGCCAAGGGAGCCACATTTCGGCGCTCTGTGAAAGCTTCGGCCGTTCGGCTGGATCTCTGCGCACTGCAGCAGATCAATTTGGCTTTTGAACGGTTGGTTGGAGGGATCGTCACCGTTTCCAGGCTTGAACCGCTTGCAAGTCCTCGCTATTTGCCAAATGCCACAAAGCCGCTGAAGATTCGCAGGTGGGGTGTCTGGTTTTGGCAGCTAAAGGAAGACGGAACATGTGGGAGATGGTCCCTGCTTAAGGGGTGCGGAGCCAACTCTCAAGTGTGAGGCATTTTGAGAAGGGAGTTTGACGAGGCTTCACTTCGGGTTCTGCTCCAGTGTCTTCAGCAGCCGAAACAGCGAGGCGGCCTCGCCAGGTGCCGTGTCTTTAAGGGCGTTCCGAGTCTCTGTGAGGCTTGAAGGACTGTGGCTGTCTGATGGCTCTAGATCCTTAGTAACACTTCCGAGGTCAAGCCAGCTATAAATCCTTGAGTCGGAATTTGACAGTTATGGGCAGTTATGGTGTTTCTGCCGGTCTGCACGCAGTGTCTCTCGTCGTTGATGTGCATGAACCACACGATACCTTGTCATGTATACCTCTGCGTAGTCCCAAGAACAAAACCAATATGCGAACCCCAAGCAGGGTCCCTCACCATCCAACTTTCGAGTTTCAGTTTGAGTTATCAGCCACCCATTCAACTCCACGATCTCATAGACCCAAGCAGAAAATCCACCCGAGATACCCGCAAGCTCAAGACTCAAGGGCGGAGCAACCAAGGGTTCGGGGCGTAAGGCATGTGTGCGAAGGACGGGAGTTTGAAGCCTTGCGCCGTGTCGCGAAGGCTTATTCCCTAAGACATACATTTCCGGCATGGGGTCTGCAGCTGTCGCCTCGCGAATGCGGCTGAACTCGATGCAGAAGGCCTGCACCTCTATGAACAAGTCCTGCACCTCCAGCTTGACAACGGGAAAATACGAAGCAGAAAAGCATCCATCATGTAAACATCCCAGTACCCTTGCTGATGTGCTTGCCAGCCATGACAGCTATGAGATTTCGGAGAACTCAACAGCTTTTGGGGGAACCTGTGATGCCAGTGATGCCAGAAACCGAGAACGAAATGAAGTCACGAAGATACCCTCGAGACAAGAAGCATCAAAGCAGTCAGCACAGCTGTAATTCTTGATCAATGCAACATATCTCACTATAGCAACTGGCACATGCGTCATGCTCGCTGGAGGACATTCCTCCTATAGAGTCCAACATAGTCCAACCACGCAGCATCCTGTTGGATGCGCTCAGGATTGCCATAATCATTTCTTCCAGCTTCCGGGTCACGCACGTTGATGATCTTGTTGCGGATCAGCGAGGTCAGGAACACGCAGACCTAACACGGGAATCGGGAATCAATCTTGTTCGGCACGGGGCTTCGGAAGACCCTCGGCCTCTCTGCCCCCACAAACCTGTAACACCCCATGCCCGAAGCCTCAAAACACACAATTTAAAAATGCAGATCTGTTGGCAAGATAGCTTCAGGAGCTCAGAACCCCCGAGCTTTCGAAACCGACCATTGTGGAGGTTTGGAACACAAGCGTTCCCGCTTACAACCGCTACGGTAGGCCCGGTCAGCAATAAAGGGCTGAAGCATAATGAGAGGAAAGCGTGCGTACTTAGGGCTCACAAGTAGGACAGGCCTGTGCAGAATACTTGTGGGCATTTGCATCTGGACTTCCTGTGCCCTCCTCGGCTCACGTCATGCCAGCTCTACAACCTCTAGCTTGATCCAGTTTGTGTGACAATATCAAATGCGAACTTCAAACTCACCTCCTCCATCATACCTCAGTGCAAGCCGACCGTTCTGCAAAGGCAGTGATGACCTGGGCCTCAACAAGACTTGCACACAGACGGGCATGAAGAAGGTGCGTGAGAGCCAAAATGATCTTGTGCTCAAGTTTGCTTCAGAGAGTTCCATGTCTTGAAGATGCCGGCCTGCAGGTCACGAGAGTTTGAAAGAAGGCTGGATGTAGCCGGGCTTCTGACGAGGCGAACCAAGCGATTCTGCATGTACTTGTCCTGGTGACAACGAACAGCCCATCCAAACGCTTCGCGTGGGATTCTCGGCATCTGCCTTCGAAGTTGGCAAAGACTTTTTCGTTTGTCCCAAATTTCGGACCCAGGGACTACCGAAGCAAACTTAACCTGCAACACTTGCAAGACAATGAACTTGTCAAGTCAGCAGCCAGATGTTCGGACTGGAGAACAAACTTCCCATGGAGTCAAACGCAGCGGGTTTGCAACCAGAGCACCATACACTCCGAACGGATCCCATCACACTGGCTGATAGCAACGGTCCCACACATGCTGAAGCCATCTGAAGCCCAAAAGCGGGGCATGAGCCGACAAGACAGCCACGCCAAGATCCTGGGAGGCAACACACATGGGACCCTAAACCCTGAAATGAAGCTCGCTGCACCTTGATGTTCTCGCAAGAAGAGATGCAGTTCGAGATATAGAGGTGTACCTCTGCATTCTCTACGGCAGTTCTTCAAAAACGACGACTGTCTTGTTCTGAAATGCGGCGGGTGATTTTTGAGTTCGGCATGGTAAGCGAAACTGCAAGACTGGTCGTGTCGGCCCTTGAAAGCGTTGAAAGCGTCCAGAAGCTTTTTGATGGTGCAAGGGGTCGAGACGGTTGCTTTTGAAATTCGTACAGGGTTGAATCTCCACTAGATATCGATGCTACGTTTTTGGACCAGGCGGCTCAAAGCATTGCAGGCGCACTGGCTTTGAAAAGCTGGATATTATTGAGCAGCACAAGGAAGGGCATGTGCGCAGGAAAGCAATCCATAAACATTGGTGGTTTAGGGATGGCGCTCGAACCCAAACGCTGACTGTACTGATGTGCGGTCTATTGCGGTCTGGTATGTATGTTTATGGAAGTCTGGGCGAACTGCAAGATATGCTGTGCCAGGGCAAGCCTCCAACCGTGAACCATTCCAGCCCGTCCAATGTTGTGGTCTATATGTTCTATATGTCGATCTGTTGTCGCACTGTTGTCAAGAACAAGGCCCGCGCAAACTCTGGAGGCAGATCTACAGATGTCGTCAGTCTGTTCACGACCTGCGGGCAGGCAGTGATTTTACCCCTCGCAGGATCCGCGCATGCGGAACGGTTAAATCCTGGCTCCCAACAGGGATGTAGGTGTAGAGTTGAATGCGATCGCAACCATTGCCCTCTTTATCCCGAATCGAGGGCCATCTGATACTGTGAAGCATGCAAGCGCATCGGAAATCTGCCGTGGTTCTACTTTCTGTTGGTGGTTTGGAGACCATTTCACTTAGATAACCTGGTAACCTGGCTCTGCATGCCGGTTTTTGTCATGGTCAGGCAACGAAACGACACGTGGCAACAACAGTAGCTTAGCTAGAAGTACTAAAAACACTACGATATTTCTTAGGATGTAAATATATAGATATTTCGACGTAGTTCTGGTAACACTGAACACCGATAGTGATACTTATTTGCAAGGAGAAAGTCAGCGACAATGAACGTGTTTTCAACGCTTTGAGGTCGCTCCTGTCCTGGCAAGAACATGTCGTGGCCGTGGCGCGGGCAGACGTTCCAGCTCACAGGGCTCGACGTGCCGTCTCACAGTTTCAACTTCACACACTTTCACGTCTGTACCATCACCCAGGCTGTACACCTGAGAAGTTGGAGTAGATGTGTTGTTATCGCGGCGCATGCTTCAAAACCACTTCGAAAATCTTGAAAACCCGGCCGCCATGGCTGTGAGGCAAGGAGGGATGCTACAGAAGCTACAGGATGTGCTTTGTCTCAGCAAAACTTCCTGCGGAGTTCCCAGCTTATGAAGCTTCAGTTGCCAGAACTATGCAACACCATGATCACCGAAACAGTTCTGCAGCGAAACTCTCGTGGACCCAAAACATTGATCGTGCAGCCTACTGAATCCTCAAGCCCACAGCCTCCATGGAGTGAAGGCTCATCTCCATGTTGACCAAAGCGTTGAAGTAGCCCGATATCTGGGAGCCGCCCATCAGCTTTAAAAGAACCTGCTCTCGGGTGTCAGGCTCACGGTGGATCAAAAGTAGCGAGGGTCTAATTTCAGTGACCTGAAACACGAACGGATCGAAGGCTGCTGTTTTCCATCAACGCCCCACCCCACCCCGCTCCCATGCTCTTGCACCCTTGGAGCCGCCCGTGCACAGTGCTTGTGTGTATCTAGAAAAGTAGCTGCATGCCACGTCTTGTGCTAGCTCCTGTTGCGAATGCTACTCACGCAGTCTGGGCGGGGCACACGCCGCCCGTCTGCCGATGCCCCCTCAAACGGGTAGGAAATCGTTGAGCAACCTTCCTTGCAAGCAAAAAACCATGACAGAATGTCGCCAAGAGTTGTCACCCCCAGTTTTTCCAGTGGCCTCTATGGCGATCTGGGGATTGTTCTCCACCTTGCCAGACAACATGCCATAAGAGGAGCGACTTTGGTCCGGAGCTTGCTAGACAGAGTGCTCGCCCGCTAGGAAAGTCTGATTCTTCCTCTGCCCTATGTGTCGAACATTTGTTCTCGTACCTCAAGACGTTTGCAGACAACAGACGATGCAGGGGCATCTCTGTGAGAATAACAGAATCTCGCCCGTGCTCGCCACGAGGCTTTCGCTAATAAACCTTTCTTGCTCATACTGTTTTTGCTTTTCGATGCTTCACTACGAGTACAGCTGAAGACGTGCCGCAGGAAACACCGGTTCCGACTTTCCAAACAATTCTAAGTTGTAAAGATTGGTTGATTGGTTCGTCCCAAGCCCGACATCTTCCAAGCGAAGAACAGCTGACCTTACCTAGATCAGCACTCCACCGCAGCTTGCTCGGCCCGGCACCAGTTCTGGCAACTTTTTGGGCGTTAACCCACAGTGATAAACCAGCTTGGCATCCTCGCTGCACTTCAGAGCGTTTATGGTTCGTTCATGTTCAGCGATTCCAACAAGTCAGGCTGCGACTACTGCAAACCATACCGTCTTAACGAAGCTACCAGGGGAGCTTCCGGAAGATCAATGTCTGGCAGTGCCTTCGACCATCTTGCACGGCAGTCTGTTTCCAAGTCTGGGTCTGAAGCTATTTAAGAACAGAATATCAAGAGCGAAGTTCATGCCATGGTCCTGCGCGAGGCCATCTGAGATGATTTGGATCTGCTGCGGCTGCAATTGCGTCTTCACCTGGCGAGCTTGCGGCGGCTTGCGTTGAAGAAAAGCAGGTGGCTCATGTGGGACCAAGAGCGCTAAGGAGCTTGGGAGCGAGGGCGCCTTCTCGGCTAGGCCCTGGGCACAAGACGGGCCCGCCCCCCCAAACTCAATGCATAGAGCATGGCGAGCACAAGGAAGTTTAGACAGCGTCTGCAGCCCAAGCCCAAACCAGATGCGATTGGTCCGTAAGCGTGACAAGAGCTGCCGCTTTTGCAATCAGCTCCTTGACTTCGGAGCCTGGATGAGCCAGACATGGCTCCACCAACCAAATCCGCACTCTTGAACTAGCATGCAGCATGGCAGTTGGTATAACCACACAATGCACTCATCCCAGACGCAAGCTCCGAGGCAAAAGCCTGAGAAGTCCAAAGCCAAGGCTTGCACGTGCCAGCGTCTATCCCTTTGAGGAGCCCGCCGAGGGATGTGTCTGCACACATCGTGTAATCCCAAAGCCTCAGCTGAGGCAAGTTCTGAGAAACAAGAAAATCGAGCAAGCATCACCCAAGCCTACGTTGCTGTTGGGATGTTTGCTTGCAGAGAGGCTTCCAGTAAGATATGCCCAAGCCCTGCCATAGTCCCACACCACACAGCATCTACAACGATTAGTCCGACACTCCATCTCTTGAGCACTGGAACCCCTCCGGACTTCGGGTGGCACCGATTCTTCCGAGTGGCGGCTCCGACAGCAGATGGGGTGGAGTTAGCCAGAAAACCTCCGATTTTTCGAGCAAAGCTTCACGGCTTGCGCGGCTAAGACAAGCGAAAAGCATGGACTCCAGAAAGCAATCTGATTGGTTTCACGTATCGTGCTTGTTGTGTAACCAGCTTTCGATTCGAATCTCATGTACCTGCTACACAAGCTCCTTTGCCAAGATTCACGCATCTGTTGGCCTGAAACCTCGACTGGGGCACGCTTTGCCTCTGGGCCAAAGTGCTCTCTCCAGCTTTCGCCTAAGGTACCTGCACGTTCATGGGCTTACATCCTCTTGAGCCTTGGTCGGCAGATCTGGGCATAGCCTAGAACTATGAAGCCTGATGGCTGAGGACACATGTCCAAAAGAACGTCGTCGAGGATCAGTTGGAGCTCTGCATTTCTGACGCCTCCTACACCTTCCGCACTGTGTTACGTGCACTTCCATGAACCCAAACAAAGATTCAATACCGATCCTGAAAGAATCAATGCTGAACTTGAACCACCCAATATCAGGTATCCTCTGCGCAAAGTCTCTCATCGCGTGCCCTGAATCAGGACATCACCCACCTCGTCCACAGTCGGCTCCAAGAGCGGTGGCACCGGCCGTGCCCTGGGCACGGCAGATGGCAGAAGGGAGCTTCATACAAGCCATTGCACAACAAGTATCCAGGGGTCAATGACATCGGGCGAAAGCTTGAAGTGTGAGACGTGCCGAAATAATTGGCTTAGGCTAGGTTTCCTTGTTTGGGCAGGCTTTTGAGTTGACGGATGTTGGGGCCGACAACCGAGGGGCAAACCACAGCAGTGGTAGATCAAGAAGGCATTTAAGAGGGCAACCGGTCACTGACTGGGCCCTCACGCTCAACCTTTCGGATGTGGCTTGGGACGTCACTGGTGAACACTAAGAAATAGAGCATAGAGCTGTTACAAACGTCCTGTGCCACCTTTGCAAACTGCCCGGGCACATACCTCACTACATGCCAGCAGTACCAGCGTATCAACCTTCAATGGAAAACCATACGATACCAGCAATTGTGCATCAATGCGTACGCCTGTGTGAACAAGTAGATGGACACTACACATGATATGCAGGCCTGCATGTGTGCATGCGTGTATGCTTGCTTGTCTGAATGCATGCACGCACATAGACGGTGAGTTGTTCGTGTAAGCAAGTTTGAGGCTGGCACCAGCAAGGTTCCAACGAAAGCAGGGTCAACTCCTTGCTGATGGAAAAAGGTAAATTGAGGATTGCCTAGTCCTGTGCGGGCACAGTGTGATTTCAGAGACGCTTTCCAAAGGAAGCCCACCTAGCAAGGGCTGTTTCAAGCCCGAACCTTTGGGGTTCGTGGGGCTTGGACATGCGACGCTGGATTGAGGGTGTTGCAGGGCATGAGGACCTGGCATCTCAGGTGTGGGGTTCAGTGATGCAGGGCCGTATGGCTGCTGCATTGAGCGGCAAGAAACCTGCAAAACTCAATGAAGGAACCATCAACTTCACGATTTTGGATGGAATGAATGTTTGGTGGTGGCGCAGGCCGCTCTTGCAGAGATTTGCGGAGGATTGTATATGTGACTGGCTCCGGGAACCCTAAGCCCGAGACATTACGGCGAGTCCCGAAACCACGAAAACGCCCCATCGCTCCTCTGGGTTCAGCTCTATGCTTTCTGTCCCAGTGACCTCGGCATGACAAAGGTCCTCTGATTGCACAGCAAGGTGCCGGGGTTGGCTTGCAGCGGCTCTCAACACTATCGCCTGGAATCCTCAAGGCCAAAGACAGGCACTGGAGAGGCTCAGGACTTACGACGCTTTCAAAATGCTGCCAAGCGTGCATCTTCCACGTCCTCGCCCAAGCTATTTGGGGGCAGCGGAGATGGAACCTTTCCAAGAACACCGGGCAAAGTCTCGGGCCCTAACGCCCTAACGAGTTCAAGATTTCATGCATCCTTAACGCGTTTTCGTTCGAGGCGCCTCTGGGGGGCCCGAAGCAACCGGCATGCGCACAAGCAGCTGGGACGAGGCTGAGAGGGTTACCCTGATTTGAATTCCTTCCTAGAACCGTAAGTCTGTCATGCCAAGCCGTCTGAGGTGTACATACAGTGACGGTACACGGGCTGAAGCTTAAAGATGTCCCACATCGTCTTAGGCTCTAGAGACCGTCTCGCCAAGTCCCGCAACCTTGCAGTAATCAGCCTGAAACGCGAGGAAGCCTACAATGAACATCAGAGCATGTGGGAATGTTGCAGATGATTCCTGGTTCGCTACTGCTTCAACTGTTCGAGCTCGCGGATGACCCCGACTTTTCACCAGTCCCCCAACGAGGAGAATCCGAGGTTGCGGCCCAATACCGCTCGTCTGACCTTCGGGCGCGCGACTAATGGGCTCTTTGCCTGGTTGGAAGAGCCCCACTCGTTAGGTGTTGCAAAATAAGGTCTACGGGGCAACTTCCCATAAAACACACATGCAGAGGTCTCAGAGGTTGTGGATCGATGGTCGGTGCATACTGGTCAGAATCAGTCTGCTGAACCGGGATGTGCATGTCAGGGGCTGCGAGAGCCCGAGTGTTGCTTAGCTCTGAGCACGTCTTTGATGACGGGTCGGATGCCCAGCGCAGCACTTGCGCTCACCTGAGTCTCTTCTTCAATGCCGTGGCCGCTCCGGCTCCGCTCGTGAGAGATGCGAGTGGATAGGGATTGAAGCTTGTCCAGCTCTCGACTACGGTTGGATCCGAGGTGAAGAGGCAATTCAGAGCACTGCAAGCCCAAGCTGACAGCTCCAGACCTTTCACACGGTCTAAACCCTGAGCACTGCGCTTGTGAGTGCCCCGTTTGCACGGGCACTATGCTTCATTAAGACGGATATGTCGCCCTGCTTCGATGCAGGCGAGTCGGACGATATTTAGGGTTTCACTGTGAAGCTGGCAAATATGTTAAGCTGCAAGGCCAGGCTACACGAACCCCCAAAACCTTTGTAATTGGTTACCTGGTGCTGTTAAACCTCAGATCGCCCGCATCCTCTCTTGGGCCCATGGCAGCCGGGGCTCCGTCCTGGTGCATGCTCCGGACCTTGGCTCAAGCTCTGGGGCTCTGGGACTCTCACGGCGTTCAAGGAGCTTGTGACGGACGGCGCTTTGGGGGCTTCTTGACATCTGAGCTTTAGCGCACGGGCTTCCCAGACTTCGCAGTTTTCGTTGGCCGGATTTGAGGGAAAGTACTTCTGCAGCAGCCCGGCTCGAGGAGGCTGTGACTGCCGGCTGAAGACAACTCGGCCAACACCAAACTGACAAAAACACTATGGCAGAGGCCACGTCCACAACGCGATTGAACCGCGCCACAGCCCTCTCGCAACTCCATGGCCTCTTCGAAGCCCGGCACAGCTTATCCTGTCTTCTTATCTTCTGCCTCTTCACAAGCCGAAACCCTCGACACCCTGACAGGCCCTGAATCCCGACCGGGTTGCCATGTCGAGGTCCGGGAGCGCTGGAATGTCGTTTGGATCGCAGCCTCGGGGCAACCGAACGCCCTAGGATCTGCTCTATAGAAGGCTAGCTCAATAAGCTGACGGGATGGGTGGCAAGCGAATGCCAGCCTTGTCGTTTTTGAAGGTTTCGGTGAGGACTGCTTTGGACTCTGCACTTCGGCTCCAGGGTTTACAGAACTCCTGCTGATCGAATGTAGACCTTGGGGCGATCACTGAGTTTTTCGGAGAATGTTGGAAGTTGGGATACAGAAAGGGCTTAGATTTCTTGCTTCTTGCCTCTCCTTTTTCTCGCTCATGCTGCGACTTCTTGGAGAGATCACTGCAACCCGAGTTTGGAAACCGGCGAGTCTACAAGTGTGGATACTGGGAGGGGAGGTTGCGAGAGAAGGCTTGCGGGCTGTGGTTCCGTCGACAACCACAGCCCTCGTCTGAACGAATCGGCACATAGGTGGACCGCAATCGTCGAGGAGGGCGGCAAGAAGACACTTTGTAAAGCTCTGGGCGTGGGGGTAATTCCATATCTACCCTCTAAGTTTCCTGCTTTGGCAGCCAGGACGCAGCTGCAGTGCGCTGAATCGTCAACGTCATGGAAACTGACATCTGCAAGTCTGGAAGCATGTACTCCACACCGCATAGGTCCCGAAAAACCACATTTGCAAAAATGAGGGCTGGGATATCCAATATAAACCCTGACAATGAAGCCCAATAAGGTCGGGATATCCGTATGTATAAAAAGCTTATGCTTATGTCCTTTTTGGGTTCCTAACTTAAGCTTTCATATTTAACCGGACGGATCCACGACCACCCCGTCTCAGCTAGGACTTGACTACGAGTAGGCAAGGGTCTAAAACATGCGAAGCCCAAGTGTCTCACTTCCCCTCGAAGATAGTCACCAACGTGCTAGGCTGTTCTGCCGTCAACCCAATCCAAAGATGCCCACTTTGCACGAACTGGTTCACGGTCTGCTTGTGAAGGTCCTTCGGGACAGCTAGTATTTTCGACCGCATGCATCATCCGACGAGGAACACCTTGGAATCGTTATGGTGTTAGTATCCATGAGACAGGGGTTAGTTTGGAAGATGTATGGCCTTGAGATGTCTAAGTTCTTTGACTGAGGCTCTCAACCCCACAAAGCCATTCGCCACTCGTGGAGTTTGGTGCTTGGTGCATGTGGATAGTGCATCGGAAAAGGGCGGAACAAGAACACACGACGCAGGGGCAGGACTGGGGCTCAAACAAGGTCACACGCGCTTATTTAACCACCCTGCTTCGCAGTCTCCTCAAACAAGGCCTGGATTCTTTGCTTCGTGTTTGGCTCTCTCAACGCGGCGAAAGACAACGCTTCGTACAGTGGACGACGGCATCCCCAAACTAAAGAATGCGCTCATGCGCTCCCTCAATATGGCACGCCGCACCTTCAAGTCTCTGCCATGTCAAGCTTTTCCCTTAACTTTCTGTGTTTCCGATCCTTGATCCGAAAGCGTCCGGTAAAGTGCCAAATTTCAGCGATCCAGCAGGTTCGATGGTTGTGTTTGATGTTTTGGGGTGGGTGCATTGGGAGCACAGGTTCTCGTCTTTTGATCGGCCAATGTGCAACTTTGTACAAGTTGATGTGCCGAATCAATGCGGTTTCCTTGGTTCATGCATCAGAACGCGAAGTCTACGAATCACAGGCCCGCCTCCATGTCCGGTTCGTCCCACAATTGTTCGCGTGTACCCTCCGCCCACCGGTTTCAGAAGGTTCGCTTGCAGCCTGATGCCTTTCGGGCTGTGCCACACTAACCAGAGAGCGCAAAGCCTCGCAATGTTCTGAAATTTCGATGCCAGCTCCAGTCTGTCGTGGCGCAAGAAGACTGATATGGAGCCAGCCGTGGTTCACGGCTGTGTACTTCACGGGCATGCATGACTAACACGACCCGCACTCGCAACCAGTAGCAGCCAAATTATCTCTAATGCAGGTAGAATCACTCCCGACATATTGCAAACTATATAAACTCAACTCTCTGCTATCAGCAGATCCACTTCCAAAGCCACGCCCTAAAACGGGTTGAATGAAACGACGGGTCCTTCGGTGGATTTGACAGGAACTGGAGCAGGAATTTTCGCTCCACACCATCATCTGCAGCGCTCAAGCAAGAAGTCTGGTTGCTGGATTCCACAATCGCACAAGGCTTTGCTTACTGTTATAATTCGAACGTCTTGAACAGCCCCCGCAAGGGCAAAAACGAACGACACGACGGATCCTTTGCCTACTTCATTCCAACCTCTGGGCCTTCTGGGCTTTCTGCCCTGGGCCTTGAGAACAAAGCCAGAAAGCAGCATTCACGGTTACTAGCCTGGAACAGAAACAAAGAAGCTGCTAGCAACTGGAAACTGAAAACTCATACGTGAAATACCACATTGGCTGGGCGAGAAGCGGGGTACTTTGTTTTCTGCCGCTGCGTCTATTGCAACGAACTCTACCAGTACATTCCGTAATGACACCAAGAACAACAGCCCCACCCCGATTTATGAAGTACGCGCCGTCTCGACAAAACGATACACTATTGATCCAGTGTTGCGAGCGAACCTGTAAAGCCCTTTAATACATGAAAGACACTGAGGAGACCACGGCTTGTCTCTAACAATTCCACCACCAGCGGGACGAACGGAGTGGTGGCCGTCTCCCGTTCAGTGCCCCGGTCATTCCTGGACAGGTTCTGGAGTTTCAGGATGAAGGCTTCCAGGCTTCCAACGAAGATGAGCTGTTTACGAGGCCAGGGAGAATTTGGTCTGCGCTGTATTCCACTGGCGGGAGTTGCTGTCTTCTTTGACCCACAGGAAAGCATTGCTTGCTTCTCGGGTTTGCAGCTGGCTGACCTTGCCACAAGTGGTGCACAGTTCACCGAGTCTCTCTGTACTATCTGCGCGACATAGGTACCGCTGGCCTCTCCACATCACAGACGACAGAGAAGGAGGTTCGATCATCCAGCAAGGCAGTCCAAGGCCAGAAGCAACCCACCGTAGACAAGCGTGGATGCTTTGTACCCTCGACCCTTGGGCACTGAAGAACCGGGCTCCGGTCTCAAGGGCCTGTAAATGTCGTAGAGGAGGTAGTACGAAACGAGCCGTTGCGCCTGCGTCAGGAGCTGGTCCTCGGGGCAGACTCAAACTGCTGCTGGGCAGGAGAATGCTGCAGGAATCGCCCAACAAAGCTGGATTAAAGTATCGAGAGATGTCTTGCAGTCTTGCTTCGGTTTCGGGGTTTATGGACTACTGGACGGAGATCCACTGTCCTGCAGCAGCATGCAGATGACGCATCCGGCTCGAAACCTGGAAGAGATGTGCGGGACGAAGTTTGGGGACACCCACCAGATCCACAGAACCCGCTATCTGAACCTTGTATTTATAATTTACAATACCGAAAGACTAAGAGCACCCCCCCTCAAGATACCCAGAGGTCTTTTGCTTTGGTGGGATTCCTCAGCTTTTGGTGACAGAAGTTTAAAGACCGCGAGGGACGACTATGTTGAATGTTTTCCGATCCGGCAACTCCAGGACTCCAGCTGGACATCACATTCGCAGCACATGGACAATGTACTTCCTGGCTTCCGTCACGCCTAGCTGAACCAAAAACTGCACAAGGTTCAGCCTGGCATCGGCGACTGAAGCCGGACTGAGAAGGTTCAGACGTGAAGTCCGAAGACTGCACTTCGAAGAGCTACATCCCGGAAACCTGCTGAGGTCCACGCTGCTCAGATTTTGGGAACTGTTTGTAGAACTGCCCCGCGAGGGTGTCGAAGGGCTTGTTTGCCCTGAGGCTCCGAAATTTGCACTCCATTCAGGCTTCGGCTGCAATGTCTCAACAGTTTCGACTCGCAAATCAGTATGTAGTCATTGTGCGTTTTAGCTGCCCCAGAACGAACGAAGGGAGGTCCGCGACTTGAACCAGCTAGGAGACGGTTTCTCCAGCAGACTCATCTTATGCAGAAGCTCTCGAGTAATGAAGAAGTGCTGTTGAAGGTTGAGTTACTTGCCGCTCTGGCAAACGATGCGGGCATGCATGCACCGAAGTGCGTTCAATGCATGTCGCCGGCAGATCTTAAGCCAAATCCTACCGAGCTTCCGTTCTTCGACCTTCCCCTCGCCACTTGGAGTATGTTCGAGAGAAAGTCCGCGTGAAGCCGGGCAGCTTCGCCCTTCATCCGCTGCTTACATCTTGAATCCTCAGCCCTCAGCATGATCTCGACTTCTACAGTAGAGTCTACTAGAGTTTCTAGAGCCGACACTATGAACCAGCTCTGGAAGCCAGTGAAACCTTGACGCTCCACCTGGCTCCCGAAACGAGAAGCCCAGGGCTCCGGGCTCTTTGAGCAATTGAAGCAAGCCATCGAGCTCCTGTCATTGCATGGAAGCGAGGTCAGATTATGTGTGTTCAGGGCCGTACAACTAGTACAAAGTAGACACCGGCATGGAATGAAAGTCACAGGGATCCATTTTTCTCGGTTGGTATCAGCCTACTCTTGAGTGCTACATGCGAAGGAGCAGTTGCAGAGCTGCAGGAATAGCACACACAGGATGAGGGTCAAGGGTCCTGGGATTTGGAGGTGAAATGCTTCGGGATTCAGGACTCGCACTTCCACTCCCAAGTTCTCAAGCCGCTGATCTTCGTCGAAAGATAGCTTGCAGCTCAAAGACTTGTGGGTTCCGTTTCAGCTTCCTCGGCGGGTCCGGGATTAAGGGGTGAAAATGAACACTTACGACACATGAACGGCTAGCTTGAGGCTTGATTGATTTGGGCTTTGTATTCAATGGCTGCCTTGGAGTTTCGCTGTCGCATGTCCACAGTACCCTTTTTTCCCTGCCGATCTACAGCATAGTCGCTCGCAAAGCGTATTGCAAAGCTCCATCAGGAGAACACGTCGCAAGCAATCAACCTCTAACCCTCAAGCTTTGCGTATACAGACATGAACAGGCTTACGAGTGCCGGAAGGCTGCCTGCTGTGTCAGCATGCTCTCTGCCCACGCTGCGCGCGCGGGCCACGTCTCTGCGAGTGCTCGAGCCGCAGTCTCTCACTCCAAAATCGGGGGAAATGTGCCAGATCATGCCATAGAACCTTTCATGTTTGATCGCGGAGCCGGCAAGAATTGGGAACTAGGCGGGCGCAGCATAAGCTGCCAGGCCTCGGTCACAATCAGTTCCGCATCCCCATGTCCCATCCCCGTTCCAAGGCATCGATTGGACTTTACTCGGGAGGAGTGCAGACCACATACCCTGAATTACCCTGAGCATAAAGGTTCTTCAACAATCGCTTCCACTGTCAGTCTCTGTCTCCGTGCTTGCTGCATAGCTTGGTTTACCCGCTCCGTGTACTGCAGGGGGCAGACTTTCGGACAACGAACAGTCTTCCGGGAACCTTCCAGGCCGAAGGCAGGCAACTCGCGAGATTTGTGTCCTCGCCCGTCTCATCGCAATCGCGGTTATCCCAACCCTAAGCCACAGACCCTACTTATGATACAGAGACGTGCTCCAGGGTGAACCGACATTAGCGTGAAGCTGTCCTGACTTGAGAGGTTCTCTCAAGACAGGGCTGACCGTCAGAGAACCTCTCGCCGGTCTACGGCCATCTCAGACACGTCCGCTCCCAGCCTGGGCGGCTGCCGAAACACTCGGATCCAAAGCATAGCAGGCATAGCATCGCGGTCGCGGTCGTTTCCTTGGAACCTTCCGTCTGTGCAAGGCTTACAATGCTACAAGCTGGGGAGGCACTGAATGAATCTTAGCAGCCCGGTCGGAGATTTGGGCAGTTGAAGCTCCTGAACGCGTGACCTCCAACTATCCGACAAGGCGACGACAAGCCCAACAACCCTTCTCCTGCGACGGCCACCACCAGCGAGGCAGCTTCAGCAGCTTCCAAAAACATCATTAAAGGCCCTTGCTCTGCTGTAGGGCCTACAGTTCGCGTGTGGGTGATATGTCGATCTAGTGTTCCCCGGGCTATGCACATGGCATGTATCGCTCAAGCTAGCTTAACAGCCCATGCAGATAGACACTGTGGCAGTAACTCTGGTGAAGGTACATTCACAGGAGAGTTTCTCGAGTTCTCAGATGCCTAGAAGCTCATTCAGCGCGTACTGGAGCAGGACTCCTGGAAAACGATGAAACGGTCTGTATTCAGGCGTTCTAATTACAATCCAACTGCTTTGCTTCGAACACCAACCAGAGGCCCCCCCTCTCTTGAAATCTGTGCATCCCCTCGATCCCTCGGCCCCTCGACACCCGCCAAAGCAGAATATCTCCAACGAACCCCCTACCAGCCAAGATGACTCCGCGCCTCGAAGGCTGATTTGGCACAGCCTGGAGCAAGTACTAAACTTCCAGGGGGCTCGTGCAGACCTAGACCTTCGGGTTGGGGGGTTCTTGCGGTTCTTGCTGTTCTTGGGGATCTGGAGTTCAGGTTTATGGAGTGTACAATTTTTCCCATATCAGAGTTGAGCAGCTTCTGTTGTTTTGGGTCTGAGGGCCTTCTGCGAGATGGAAACCTTGTCAACTGCACAACAACGTGAAACAGCCGGCATGCCGCGCGAGATCGTCGTGATTTCGAGGCAACGTGCTGGGGATGGAATGCAGGGGAGGGTGGAACCAAAGACGACCCAGTTGGCACACTGTAGAATTAGCAAGGTCTGTCGTCCTCAAACACGGCATGCTGCCAGCTCGAAATTCAACCTGGTGCCCTCGACCTGGAAAGCAAAAATCCAGATACCCGGAACTTTTGCCAGCTGTGAGAAAGCTTGAAGCCCCCTGGCCCAGCCTGTTCTGCGGAGCTCTCCGCAAACTTGTTACCCCTGAAGAGACAAGCAAGATGCTGAGTTAGAGAGGCCCTACCACTCGATTCGGAGTTCCATCAGCGGGCATCTGTGGCTGCCAAGTCGGGACGCAAACAAAAACAGCAATTCCGAACTCCGAATGGTCAAGAAAATCCCCATCGCCAGGAAGCCGCCCAGAAGCCGTCCAGGGCCCCCGCGACTTGGTCATGTTCTTGTTCGTGATCTTCGTGCCCTTCGCATGCGCAGAGCTTCCGACCTGAGATCCACAGAACATGGAAAGCTTGACAAAGTGCTTTAATGGCATCAAAGCCTAAAGCCACAAGCTGAGGACACATCCTCTCGAACCGCTGCAGCCATCTGACCAGGTCGGAACTCGTGGGCCTTGGTCTTGGCGATGACGAGGTCTGATGCTTGAATTGGGGGTCCACATCAGTCTGATGCATGGCAAGTTGATGTTTGCGATCTCTTCAGAGTCTCTGTATGGGGCCGGGCCCGGGACCAGGCAGCAGAAACCGTAAGTGAAATGGATGCAGACCCAGAGTCAGAGTTCTGGGCGTGAAGCGGGATCCCACAGCATCCCTTCCGACTCGCCGAACTAACATCATCAGTATTTTCAGTCGTGCTCCAGCTTCTCCGCACCACCCCACCGAGTCCGAGCTGTAAAAACACAGCAATATCGAAATATCGAGTGATCACAGACACGTACATATCCGCACTCGTCATAATGCAGAAGTTACTGCAAACCTCACTCAGATCGCGAGAATAGTGGCCGTAAACAAAGGTGGCGCGGTCAAGTCGAGATATCCTGAGCCAACCTTATCATCGAATGTAAACGAGTCACTAGTCCAAGAGCCAAACCCAACTTCGCATGCATGCCAAGGTCCGTGCTTCGGGCGACAGGCCTCCGTGCCCCGACCGGGGTGCTGACGCTTGAGCTTAGGCTTCAAGAATATGTTCGCCGCAGTTCGCCCTCCGCTTGATCCGCTAAACCCCCAATGGAACATCACCCCAACCCCAATCACAGTCCTGAACAGGAACCCTCTCACACTGAACAGCTGACTTCTGAATCCCAGACGCATGATGGTGACTCCAACCCAACCCTACACTTTGAATTAGAAAGCATCTTCTTGTATCTTCCGCCCGAGACCGGGAAGCCTGAGCTCTGCGAGATGTCGCCTCCGAAAGGATGATTTGGGGCCTTTGGGGTCTGGGGTGTGAGACGATATAAAAACAGAAGCTCTTTGGGTTGGGAATGCTTCGGCATTCCGCATCATGGGTTTGTGTGTGTGGGGGGGGGGGGGGTCGGGGGTTGGAGTATTGTCCAGTTGCCTGATCAAGCTGAGAGTTTGAGCCTGACCCTCGAAGCCTGCAGGGGCAAGACTGCTAGGTCTGTCCCTTCGTCGAGCGAGTTTATTATCCAGAGCTGTGAGCTCTATACCTTTCATGCCCTTTGGCGTTGACAACAGCACACACACACACAGAGTTTTGGCAGGGAATGCTTTAGGCTGCAAGGCTGAAGTCCATTTCTGCCGAAGCTCAGAGCCTTTGAAGGCACTGTGAGTTTCAACCGGACCGTTCAGGATCCTCGAGGGTTTTCACGCTGACACACGCTGACGCGCTGGAGATCCCCGGAGCCTTGGCCTTGCTTCGCTAGGCTGAGCATCTGCTCGAAGAGCTCGCTGGCACCTAGCGCTCCAAGCTACCACTTGAACCCGCTCAGCCTTTGGTTTCAGTCGACGGACACTACTCTACAAGACATCTACCAGGGAATCTACCACACAAGCAGTTCCCACAGTTCTCCCCCACAGCTCAGGGTGGTTGAGGTAACACAAGCTGCGACAAAAGTAAATCCCAGAGCCATTCAGACAAGGTTATAGGATTTTCAGCTTCGCAGTTGTCGCTTGGAGCAATTGCTGCCGACAACCAACATTCATTGGAAAGACCCTAGCTTCTGATCTCCGCCTCCACTGTGCTCGCTATGTCTATGACTCTGTGCCACTCTAATCACTCTAGTCCAGCAATTTGCGAATGTTGGAGCCGAAGAGTGAGAATAGATGGGTCAAAGCTGGGGAGTGTACGAGGCTAAGACAACGCCTACCCAACACGTACCATGCATATATGTGTGCGCAAGAGTAGTCCTCGTGACTGCGTGCTTCCTTGATAGTCCAAGAATGGTCCGGGAGAGCAACAAACACCCCAGAATGCCCCACAACCCCAGACCTGAGCCCTGAGGCCCGAAGCCCTAAGCCTGAACAACGGCCTCAGGATCTGGGACGTTGGCATCCGCATGGGGAGACATTCGGCTGAAGTTTTGTTGGTTAAAGTTGCCAGGCCACGACGGGGAAGACCCGTCGGACAGCCTTACTAGCTCCGAAGCTGGGCCCAGCACTAGCATCGGGCTGAAACTCTGGGGCGTCGGAAGACAGCCTTGACGTTGCAGCATCCGATGCGGCCTTGCAGTCAATGGAGAAGAGAGATGCCAGCTGGATGCAAAGCTTGAGGCTGAGCTGATGTGGAGTTGTTGATTTTGCTGGGTGAAACCTCTACGACGAAGCTTTTAATCCAGTGTTGAGGATGAGCGCTCTAGGCCAGGAGCGCTTCCGCGGTCACTCTGGCACTCGTCTCCTGTATAGGATGAACGCTGGTTCCCATGACATTTGTAGCCGGGCACAATGCTTCAGGTGACACGTGACATTCTTTAAACGAACCGGTAAAAAACGGTAGAAAACAGGGCCCTCAGCCCAGTCATAGCTTTTTAAGGGCTCTTCCATGCTGGCGGGTCCCGGCCTTGCTGGCGAATTCCTCGGGCACAGAGAAAGCAGGTAGATCTGGGTCCACGCCTGAGCATGGGGTGATGACTCCAAGATGCTCTTCAGATGCCTACCCTACCTAGCATTTGAGAAGTTGAGTCGAAGAGTAACTAGGTGACAAGAACTCGAAGCGCAATCCAGCTCTAAACTACACCCTACCACCAGGAACCCTGACCAACAGTTGGCATAGTATCATAGGGTGTATAGCCGACAGTGGCGAGAGATCGTCGGGAAAATTGAGGAAACTACACTATCTGCTTCTACTTGGCGCCGTGACATTACGCTGGCCCGTCATAACTTCGTCGGAAAGACAGCTTAGACCGGAACGACGCCCAGCATCGCCATTCGCCTGGGCGCTAAGTGCATGCAGAAGCATACTGGAGAATGGAAGCTCTCTCTGTCTCTTAGTCTCTCTCTCGGTCTCCATCTCTCTCTTCTTCCAGACAGACAAGGGAGCAGTCGGACTACCCCTCCGCATGACAGGGCGCACTGGTCAACTCGGTCTGCTGCGAGCACCTACCTCTCTCTCTCTCTCTCTCTCTCTCTCCCCCTACTAACCTGGTTACCTACTACCCCTGGCTAGCAGCTATCTATATATACCATGTGTATACAGCCCAGGCTAGTTAATCGGAGCACTGCAGTTTTTTTGTCGCAGCCCTGCGGGAAGGATGCACGGAGTGTGCTTCGCAGCACTCGAAGCACTGCCGAGGAGAGGCTGTGAGTCTGACCGAAAGGAACCTTCCATCACACATGTGCTCGAGAATCCCCGCTCTTTCAAGCTTTGGAGTGTCTTGATGCTAAGACCCAGCTACCCTTGCTATTGAAAAGGTTAGGTTTCTGCAGAGCCGCGGACCGGCCACCACAAGCATCATCCAAAGAAGGTAGTTTTGAAGGATTAACGCTTACCCATGGGCATGCAAAACCCAAATGGCATCCACATTGCCAACTCGGAACTCAGGGTTCAACCTATTGTGCAAGTTCAAAAAGCTTGTTTTCGGGCGAACGGCTGCATGGTCCACATGCTGACGAAACCGAAATCTTTCCAATGAAGCATGGGCACATGGAGCAAGCGCCTCCTCGCTATGCTTCGCTTGCTGAATGCTCCTCTCATGTCATCTTGGCAGTGCCGCCTGCATGTGACAGCCTTTTGGCCACTTGGCTCAGCCAGGGTCTTGGCACACCCAGCTTCAGAATCTAGGTCAGAAAGGTCAAAGCCTGAAACCCCTTGACAAGGCTTCTCATCAAGAGAAAGCCACGCACCGGCCATAGAAGCCGCTCTTCTGAAGCAAAGGCGTCATGCCTCCTTGGCGCTTCAGCGGGCAGAGGCTGGCAGTTCTGCCTCAGGCTCTTCGTTGCCCCAAGAGCTGCCAAAGCCCAGGTCCTGAGAGGTCATGCTTCTGGGGAGTTCGAAGGGTTGAGTCTGAGGGCTCTGGTGCTTGAGGACTTTGGGTTGCATCTGAACCTGCCGCCTTCTCGACTGAGCCCAGAAACTCGAGATGTTTATCTCCTGATCCTTCATGCAGAACTTCGAATGCTTGTTTCAATTTCACTGGACTGTGCTCCCTGCATTCTACTTCTAGGAGCCTTGCTCACCAAAAGCATACTTTAGACTCTAGACCCAGACCGTACTCCAGAGCCGAAACCGGGTGCCTCGAGGCTGGTCAGGGCTGCGCCGCCCTGAAGGTAGCGACGGCCAACGAGGTTCTCCAGGCCGGCCATGGCCTGCGGAAGTCGCTTTGAAAGCAGGTCGTCTTTAGAAGCACAAGCGCTGGGGCGGTGTGGGGCGGTGTGGGGCACAGCCCTGGGTAGAGCCACCTCACATGTGCACCATTGCAAAATGCTAAAGCTCAGTACCAAAGCTTCGTTCGAATACACCACTTTCCACTTTCGAGAGAGACTTGCAGAACGCACTGACAACTGCATCAATTGTTTCAATCGTGGGGACTTCCGGGTCTGTGTGTGCTGCAAAGCTCTGAACCGCCTGTTCCAGCGAGAGCTTCAAGCATGGGCGTTCTTTTCGTGGTATGTGTTGTGTTTTTTTGGTTTTCGCCTGAATGGCTTCAAGCACCCGGTCAGTCGATTCGAGAGCCCCAGTCGGTGCCATGAGCAGAGCGCCAATCAGTCAGTCAGTCGGTCAGTCGTCCGTCGATCCGCGAGCCCGCCGGTCAGTCAGTCAGTAGGTCCGCCGGTCGGTGTCAGTCAGTCCGGCTGTCGGTCGGTCGGTCCATGCGCCGAGGACCAGGCACTCAGTCCACCAGTCGGCGACGACAACGAAACGCTGCTGCTGCTACTACTGCTGCTGCTGCTGCTGCTACTACTACTACTACTACTACTACTACTACTACTACTACTACTACTACTAGTACTACGGCTTCTGGCTTCTTGGCTTGTGCCATACTTCCTGAAACTCTCGCACCATTGGAGACCCCTAATAAATTTAGAGAACTGCCCACATGCCTGAAACCATATCCCTTCGGCTGGCATTCAGCCCGTTGTTTGCGAGTCTGACAGCTGCATATTATGTGGTGGCGCTGCAAAAAGGCTTGTTGTGGCAATGCAAGTTCTCAACATCAGCTCCTGATACGAAATCACTACTGTAGCCGCATGTCGTCCTTCGCCCCTAGACATGGCTTTTGCATGGGGGGGCGGCTGCCACGGTATCGAAAAATCAAAAAGCGATCAAGATAAGTCGACTTTCTAAAAGACTGGGAATTGCGTACTGGCAGCCAGCAAGCACTTTCAAACAGGTCTTTCTCTCTGAACCGGAACCGCCGAATGAGGGGGCATGTTTAAGATATATGAGGAACCGGAATCACCAAATAAGGGGGCCTGCTTAAGATATGTGAAAAACGGAATCACCGTGTGAGGGGCGTATTGAAGATATATGATGAAGCGGAATCGCCAAAGGAGGGGGTGTGTTTCAGATGATATACGATGAACGGAATATTTATGATGAGCCGAAATCGCCAAGGGGGGGGGGCCTATCTAGGATGTATGATGAACAGGAATCGCCATATCAGGCTGCCTGTTTAACATGTACGATGAGCCGGAATCGCCAAGTGAGGGACGTGTTTAAGATGTATGATGAGCCGGATTCGACCATTGAAGGGGCGTGCTTTAGATATATGATGAACCGGAATCGTCACTATGGATGACGCATACCGCATACTGCTTATACTGCCAGCATACTGCGATCACAAGGCACCGCGTTTTCTTCCTTTTTGTTTCAGGCACTTGCCGTTTTCGGTTGTGCAAGCTTCCTTCAAGGAACGTCGTGGCATCAAGAAGAAAGCCTACGACCGCAGCAGCCCCTCTTCATGCTGCCGGCTAAGCTCATAAGAACCTGCATTTTCCGACACCTGAGAAAACTAACCGACGTCGGCCAAAACCTTTCCCGCGCTGAACTATGTGTTTCTTATGCATGAGGCAGAGTTTTTGCCCATATCATATGGCGGGGGTGCGCCCCCCAACGCCCCGCAACGTGGGCGTTTGGACGTAGCAAGAGCCAAGCACGTAACTCTTGTGAGACCTTTCAAAGCCAGTCCCGTTGGCATTGTGCATGCAATTGGGGGGCCTGCGAAAGCCGGTCCTCTTAGCAATGCGTTTGCAAATGGGGGGGGGGCCGACCCCTCTCCGCTTTCTTAAGCCAAGTGAGCGTGCCTTAGCGAGTGTCGTACCGTCAGTGATTGGTCGTAACACGTCAAGCACATAACTTTTATAAGACGTTTCAAAGCCTGTCCTAGGGGCCCCACCCCCCGCTTTTTTTTTAGGCTGCGAAAGCTTGTCTAGAGAATATCGTGCCATCAAGAACGTAAAGCCATAAAACAGAGACGCCCAGAGCCGGAACTGGCACGGAAGGCAACTGGGTACTGGCGCGGCCGGACCGACGGATCTACAGACTGAGTGACCGACTGAGGGCCAAAGACCAGTAGGCCGAAAACCATAGAATTACACTAAAACCATCCTGTGACTCTTGCGAGGCTTGTATATGGATCGAACCGAAAACCAAAAAACAAAAACACTATCCAGAAGAAACCTGACCCCTTCAAACAGCTTCGGAAGCACAGCACTTGCCAAAGCCTCGACGAGTTTGCTGTCGTTGGCTACAGAGGACTCCTGAGCCAGGACAGAGAAGGGCTGAGGTCTCGCCGCCTACAATAGAGGGCTCAAACGTAGAGACGATAAACGCCTTTTCTTTCAGATTTTGTGGCGCTTGGCGAAAACTCTGCTTTACCTGGCTCAGTATTTAGGATTAGGACTTGCGGGCATCTGTGCAAACCTTTCCGACGAAGCCCGCGTCTACCAGCAAAAGCATAATGAAGAAGGAAGCTGTAATATGAAGTCGACATTCCGATCTCGTTATCTCGTCTTGCAATTCTTACACCGGCCCCCGAATATGGCAGCCTGAGGCGGGATGGCCAGAGAGAGGTCTGCAGGCATGCTGAATTCCAAAGCCCGTGAGCTTTCCACATTCTGTACCCTAGCACTCGAGCAGTTCGACACCCAAGACTCAAAGTGGCTGAGGCATCCCAAAAGGGATGTGAACGTATATTAACTATAGACACATTTCATGGTAAACACATAACTGTTAGACATGTACTGATTCACGCACCAGTGTTCGTCAAGCTCACCGGAAGTCCGGAAAGCATAAGCCTAAGCCCTGTCTCGCATTCTGACCAGCACTCACTGGCCCCGGATTGCTCAAAGCACAGAGGCACTAAGTTAACGCGTGTACCAGCCCAAAGTGGGCAGCAGAAGCAGCTTACTGACTGCAAATCAATCTGCCCTCCCGTCGGCCTCAGGCTTTGTATCAGCTTCTGTCCCAATGCTCGCTGCCAGCTGGGCACCCAGACGGCCTTACCGCAGCTTAAATCCTGATGTCTCGGGCTAGTTCCTGCCCAGCTCAGACGGTTCAGACGTGTGGCTGCGACGACTTGGGGGTGCCGGGGTTCGCCGTGAACTTTGGGTCACTTATCAAGTCTAACGGTTTGTGGCTGTGGGATCAGATGCAGTGTACAACGCTGTAGTCACTACAGCTAAGCTACACTACAGTGTAGTGTAGCTTAAGGTGTTCGCAGACAGCGGTGTTGAGTTTTCGACGCAGTGCAAAAACGCCGTAATTGATTGAGGTCGCAGCTTGAATGAAAACGCCCCCACAAGATTACGCCTGCAAGCACATCGCGGATGATTGGAATCTGTGCCGTCGCTTGGCAACCTGCGTGAGCCCCAAAGTATTCCTAAGTCCTGTAGGCAGCTCACACCTGCAGAATCCGAGCTTTACTGCCAAGCCCGGCGGCTGATGGCTTTCTTCCGACGACGACGCTGTGCCTGGCGGGTGCATTGGACGAAACATGATTTTGAATCAACAGCAAAAAAAAGGTAGCTCTTCAAATATCCTAGACCATGCAATTTCGTTGTATTTAACGACATCAAACCCTGAGAACGACACATCCACCTCAAACCTGCCAGCATATCTCGAATGAAACCTTCGCGAGTCTTGCAGACACCCGGCGGATTGCGGAACAACTCCAAGCGGCATGTTGTGCAATTGACGCAGGCATCGAACGAGAACTTCTACACCGTGGTACCTAAGTCTTAAACAAAGTTTAGGCTCGACGAACCACCCTGAACCATTGAACCTTGCGGCGAAACTCTGAACTCTCCCATCAGACCCTGAAGGACAAATCCCGCCTATTAGTAGATCCTGGCAACTCATGACGCCCTGCAGCCGTCCACGTTACCAGAAGCGACCCACCAAACTCCATCGCTTAATTCCGACATTTCCCTGCCTCGGTCTCCCGCTCCGACTCCTCACGCTCCCGGGCACGCTGCAGTGCGAGCTGAGAGGCACAGATCGCCTCGTCACGGCATGCCAAAAGCATATGCGTACGTGAGGTTTAACCATGCATGCACCGCAGCTGATTGCACTAGAAGTTAGAAGGACGACAACTGACAAGGTTGACAAAGCGCGCAAACAAAAAAGGATCTAAGTAACACACACACACACAGAAACACACGCACGCGCACGCACACACACACACACACACACACACACCCGCGCACGCGCACGCGCACGCGCACGCGCACGCGCACGCACACACACACACACACACACACACACACACACACACACACACACACACACACACACACACACACACACACACGCACTTGCAGGCTTACGTGCGTAACTGCATAATGTATGCATGCACACACGGTTCTGTCTGTACGCATGTACGTCCGTTTTTACGAAAATAGATACAAAATCTGCTTGAGTTGTCAACAACAGATTATCTTCCCTGGCTTATGGCCGTGTCTGCCTCATCACGAAAGACTTCAGACAAGCCACGCTAGTGTTCAACACCATGCTAGCATGAGCAGTGCACCAAAAGTAAAAACAAATGCTAGTAGCGAAGGGCGCGGATGTGCACAATGTGTGGGGGCATGCGGTTCTCAAGTACGGCGAACCACACTGCGATGGCTTCTTCGCCAGGCCATAGTAGATTTCTGCAGCCGCGCTTGCTGGAGAACGAAAACTGCAATATCTATTCTTGCCTGCACTGGGGCTTAGCTTTTCCGAAGCTGGCCGGCTGAGGGGGCCAGGTTTTCTGCAGGTGCACGGAAGTGTGTCAGGTTTCCCTTCTAGTCGCTTGCTTCGTTGGCATGGCGAGCCAGCAGACTTCCCTGCCGCCTCCACACTAAATTGTGCTGCTCTGCTGTCGGCATGTGCTCTATCGCGAACAGGCTGAAGAAATTTGAGGTTGATTGGAGCCCCTGCTTCCGTGTTCTAGGAAGGAACACAAACACAGGCAACTTACAGGGTTTCGGACGTACACGACTCAGGTTTACAGTCATCGTTTGCTCGGTTTTGCGTAGCTATATTTGTCTAAACCAGATTATGGTTGTCTATCTCGGTAGGAGCCATTTCTCGAAACCTGAATACATTTGCCTTATGTTAAAATAATACATGCACCTGATGTTCAGGGCTTTCAAGGAGAGTTTTACGCGGTCCCGGAGTTCTCAGCTGGGACCACAGCCCGAAACCGCAATTTAGCGTACAGCCCCCCACGTTGGAGCCCTGCAGTGACCGTTGGTAGCAGAGTTGAAACGAACACGGTCTCGTCTCAAGCGGCATGTCTTGCCGAGCTGCTTCGGCATTGTCCGTAGCATCATCCAGCATGTCTTCGACCTAGCTCGTGCATATTTTGGGTGTGGTTGTACTTGTTTGAGAAACGATCCTTGTGTCAGTCAATTGACAGGATGAAAAAACACATCAAGCTTCGGGCAGATATCTTGAGCGAATCTGCGGCCGCAACCCCGACCATATTGCATCTCACTGTGGACAAAGTTATCCGACAAATAACTAACCTGCAAGCATCGCCCGGCCTGTGCCAGCTGCAGCTCAATCTGTGCGTTCGCAACATTCCACGCCTGCGAACCATCAAGCTCGTCAAACGAGCAAAATCGGGGCTGCTGACTTCCTCTTTACGGGCTGACTTCCTCTTCACGGTCTCTCCCGGCTCGTCGTGACTCCTTCTACTCTCCGATGCTCTAATCATGAGCTCGGAACTGCACGTCTTCAGCACCGTTCAAGTCAATGAGATCGCATAGCTGGGATTGGCCATTCGAGCTTCCGCGATCGTCCTGTGTGTCCTGGCTTTGGGTTTAGCTAGCGCCAAAGGTTTGGCATGCAATCTCCGATGAGAGCTCTGCCGCCTCTCGCTGCTTCAGCCGCCGATAGCGCCTCTGCGTCGCTGCACGGTCTCCCCGGCGCCGCTCGAGCTCGCGCTCGTAGGCCCGAGCCTCCACAAGCTGGAAGGCTCCAGGTTTCGTCTTTGGAGCTCCATTAGATCAGATGTGCCAGTGCCTGACTCTGCTACATGTAGGAGCACGAAGCTCGACCGGCTCCTCTGATTCTGATGCGGGAGGGGCCCGATCCCAGAACTAAAGTCCCGGACTCTTGCAGTTGTACTAAAAGCCACGTTCTTCACCCAGAAGAACTGACTTTTGAGATCACTACCCCAGTCACCAATGATTCGATCGCAGCACCTCCTCCCTGATGGAATTCGCTTCTTCCTGTCGCAGGGGGGACATATTAAGCGAGGGACGGAATGACTCTAAACCAAGACGATACAGAAACATTAAAACAACGGCGCAGAATCTTAAAATGCCAACATATGGGGCATCTGGGGGGCACCCTCATGGACCCAAGCCTACCTTTTCTTGGTCGAAGCCAACCAACATGCACTTTCGCTTTCAACCGACAGCCCACGTCAGGCAGGTTTGATCGGCTGTTGCAGCAATATCTCAACTCGAAGCATGGCGAAGCACGGAAGACGGTAATAATGAATGATGAGGTAAAAAAGTCAGTGACGACCTACTTGCGCTGCACATTGCAAGCCTTCCTAGCCCCCGTACCCGAACCGCGGAAAACCCTCCACCTCGAAAGCGACTGGAAGTTTGGACTTGTTTGAAGTTAACTATGGCTTCGACTGAACTCCCGTCTGCATTCAGTGGTAAAGCTTGCAGGCTATCCGCTGCTTACAACGACAAAGATACGTTTTGCCAAGGCAGCACGCAAACTCTTCCCTACAGCCAACCGCCGACTGACGCAAGCGGCACCAATTGGCTTAGTAAGTTTAGAGTCTGAGTGCATTGAAAGAGCCATGCAAACGATAGCCGAACCCAATGCACTGCTTAGCCGTTCGTCTTGCGCTCGAGCTTCTGGCCTGCTGCGGGTGTAAAAGATACAATAGCTTCAACAGCGATAGTGCTAAGTTGTGAAAGCAGCTCTGCTGTGGCGTGTGATCCTCCTCAGCCCCTCACCGCATGGGACTGTTGCCCATCACATCTCAAGCCTTAGGACAAACAACACCCTGACTAAAGAAACACTCAGCCGTAAGCCGACAATACTTTCTGCACCATCCACAGGCTTAGTTTGGCTGCTGTCCTTACAGCGGTGAGGACCCTGTGGTAAACAGCCAGAACAGTGAGTGTTTCAAGCTCCTGCCAAATTTTGAGAGATGAAAACGCGTACACATCCGGATCACGGTTTTCTCATGGTTCCTTCATTTTGCTATCACTGTCATTGTGTCATTGTTTCCGCAGCAGCCGGCGGCCGGCCTCGAGGACCGCCACCGCTGCAGCCTCCCGACCGAGGCGAAACTCGTGGTCGGCCAGAGCCGCAACCCTGGTTGGGTCGTCGGGTCGTCATCTCGGAGGGCTTTGGGAAGTTCGGGGTCAGACTCACTCACTATGTGAAACCCCGACAAATCCTGACCCCAGGCCCGTGACTGGAAATTCACTGCAAAGACACATCTCCGGGAGGTCGGATGCCTCGTCACCTGCAGCAGACGCAGTCTGCAGGCCAGAACTCGGAGATTTCGGGGGTCAAGAACACCGAAATTCTGAAACTCTACACCTCCCCCTGCGACTGCGCGGCCTAATGCTGCAGCCAAGTAGAAGTTCACCTTGGTCCAGCTAACATAGATACAGCATTGTGGCATTGCAGGATCTTGAAATTACTTTGTGGAATCTGTTGTCACGGTTTCAGAACACGTTGTGCTGCTCTCAGCCCTTGTGAAGTCGTGGGCGCGCGGCACATGCGTTTGACGCAGAGACGTGCTTGCGCTGAGCCCCTATCAAGCTTCTCTCTTAGTTCATCTAGTTTTCCTGATGGCTTCCTATTCTCCTTTGACTTTGCCGAATCCAAAAACTTGAATCAAACACCCCGGCTTCACCCCCAAACCGCGCCTACCCGAAACCTTAGCAAAAGATCAAAAGCAAAGCAACTCCCATAAAGTCAGCCCGGTTACAGACTGGGCAGCTTCTCCATAGGGCGCCTCATCCGGAAGTGGCGGCACCCACTCCTGGCAGACAAAGAACCAAAAGACTCTCTGGCTCGAGGATCTACGGGCTGCTCATGCCGTCTGATCCGGGGATGTGATATCAATGCACCGATCTGCGATGGCTTTGACGCTTTTTGGCTTGCTCGATGTTCTGGCGGCTTTGTGGCCGTCGCTTTGTCTTGGTACTCTGCTTTTTGCTGTTGGTGCTTCGTTTTTGATCTCGAGGCACTCGAACAATCGGAAGACAGCCCGCCCCGCCAGCAGCTGCCTGAACCGAAACTCTTCAAACTGATGCCTGCAGTTGCAGTGACCAGCACTGGAAATAGAAACGGTTTGCTTCTCGTTGATTTGATTCTTGGGCGGCTTTCGACAGAGTTCTGAAGTCATGGCAGGGTTGTGCACTTTTTCTGGCCTGCATGCTGCCCATGGATTCCGGCGAAGAGCAGAACCCAATCGTTCTGCAGATCTCACGAAACTCCTGAAGAAATTTTCCACCGGATCCCCGAGATCCATACACCACTCAACCCAGACTCCACACGCAAGAGCATTTCGACGCCGAAAATGCTATCCTCGCAGCCTCAAGGCCACATGCGTTGAAACCGCACATGGACCTGACACGCTAAACCGTAGAAATGATACTGCCCCAGCGCCTTGTAACGTAGCTCCGCAACTCAAAAACCATAAAACAAGAGCGAGAGAGAGAGAGAGAGAGAGAGAGAGAGAGCCAGCCGCATCTCCATCCTAACCCTGCGAAGCCTTCGGACTTGATGTCGAGCCCAGCATTCCGAAACTTCGGCCTCGGGCTTCTGCAGTGCATCTCCGCGGCGAAGCAGCTTTACCAGGTATTCGCTATCCGAGTCGGAGATCCTGGGATAAAAGGCTTGCGAAATTGGTGATGGACCTGATTTGGGTGAAAGGCCCAGATTCCGACGGGCTGTAAAGCTTACCGAACAAACAAGGTCGCGGCGTCATCCGCGACCGTGCGGCAACAGCGCATTGAGGGCTTGCACCGTGTTTGGGGACATGCCGTTTTTTTTCTGCATTTTTGCGCATCTGTGTTTGGAATTGTGCGGAGCCACTAGTCAAAAGTGTGGTTTTTCCTGGACTTTGAAGACCAATGTGTAGAAAACACTGGCTGGCGTGGCATTTTTGCAACACACTGTTCGAGCACCTTCAAGTGAAAACTTGTTCAGGCTGTTTTTTGTGTTTTTTTCCTGTTGGCGTTGTGGTGGCGGTGGCGGTGGCGGTGGCGGTGGCGGTGGCGGTGGCGGTGGCGGTGGCGGTGGCGGTGGCGGTGGCGGTGGTGGTGGTGGTGGTGGTGGTGGTGGTGGTGGTGGTTGTGGCAGTGGTTGTGGTGGTGGTTGTGGTGGTTGTGGTGGTGGTGCTGGTGGTGGTGGTGCTCGTTCTTCTTGTTGTTGTTGTTGTTGTTCTTGCTGTTTTGAGCCTGAAGGCTTCACAGAAGTCTGTGGTTGTTGTCAGGCTAAAGCCAGCCACTCGAACATGGTCACCCGTCTTCGGGCGAGGGGGTGTTTACAGAAATTAAAGGCAAGTTGTGACAGGATGCAAGCCCAGAGACGTTATTATGCCCCCCCCGTCCCCCCACCACCCTCAACCCAACCAGTAAGAGTCCAAGAGCCTAAAGGGCAGCAGACCGCAGCGGTAGTAGAGCTAGTCTGAACATGAAGCACTAAAGGGCAGCAGGCATCAGCAGTAGTAGAACTGATAAGAGTCGAACAGCCTAAAGAGCAGCAGGCAGAACAGCCTAAAGGGCAGCAGTTTTATGCAATGCAGGGCTCTGCCAAAGACCAGTTCGCATCTACGAAAGCAAGGATCAACCAAGCGTGATTAAGCCCCCCCCCCCACCCGCCCTACCCCCCTAACCCTGAAAACTTGGAAAAGCCTGCAAAAACCCTGCGGTCACCCCCGACGCCGCAAGCACAAACAAGAGCAGGATGCATCCTTCGGAGTCTGGGGCTTTCAAACACAGAAGTTGGAACTGATACCTGGTTCTTCCAGCCCTTGTGCCTCGCCTCCCTAGCCACCCGCACATCGAATATCATGCATTGCTGAGATGCCGCTCCCAGGCTTACGATGAAAAATGCAGAGCCCAGGTGCAGAATCCATGGGGCAGGCCCTGCAGTTCTTCGAAGGATTTGCGCCCAAAACCTCGTGTGTAGCTCAGGCACATAGCGTACAACGTGCAAGAAGGCGGCGGGGGCCCGAGGCGCAGCATGAATCTTACAGCATTCGGCTTTAGTCCATAAAGGAATGGCAAAGGTACAGAGCATTGGTCGATGCGGCATGGTCACCAGCTTCGACTGGACTAGATTGACTAGAACAGGCCAGCGCTAATTTAGAACAGATTACGTTAGCTTCGATTTGATCAAAACACGAATTTGGTGTAGATCAGCAGCCAGGTCAGGTTTGCATATTTAGAATAGATTTCGTTTAGAGTAAGACAGACAGACAGATAGACAAACAAACAGATGGATATAGAGTGGCAATTGTGGGCACGGCAAACCGGAGAGAGAGAGAGAGAGAGAGAGAGAGAGAGAGAGAAGCCTGAAGCACAAGAGGACGAGGCCCGGAGTCAGAACATGGATGGTGAGCTAGCACGAGTTTCTCTCGCATTCAAGGTTGAGGGTCAAACGACATTTCGGATCAATGCATGACCAGTGCTTCAGGGTTCGAAGTGTCAGACATCAGCCACATCATTCCTATGCAACTCAACAGCTTCAGAGAGTTACTGAGCTGCTTCTGAACTCAGAAGCCGACTCCCCAAATCCTGGCCACCAGCCCCAGACCCGGATCCCGAGCCATGCAATCCCAAATCTAAAACAAAAAACCTCCCAACGAAACGAAAGCCAGGAAGCTCAAGACTACTATCCGCAGCACAAAGCTGGATCGTCCTTGGCGAGCTACGGATTCAGGCTTTTGCACCAAGGTGAGAGGCTCCAGACACTTATGTAAGCCCCTACTACCCATCTGCACTCCTTCCGATTTGCCAGGGTGCCATGTCGCCCAAGAACAAACACAGCCATGTCGATTACATCCACAGCGCCACCGGCATTCACCGCACATCGCCCACCGATAAAACCTAATGCGCTAAACCCGAAATTTTGGCGGAGTGTTGAACATCCAGTCCGCATATAGCATCGTCCTCAAAGCCTTTGATTCGACTCGGGCTGCTCTCAAGGCTAAGCTGGATTCAGCTCATCTTGTGACGTTCGTCGCTTGAGCCTGCTGATGTCGTGTTTAACTGTTTAACTGCAATGCAGCATGGTGCGGCGTTGCGGTCAAGCTTCTGAGCGACTTCGATCACGTCGTAGGCCTCCAGCTGTGCAGGAGCTCAGGAGTTTTGCAGAGCTTTGCAAAGTTCCGCTTTTTTCCCAGACGAAAACCAAAGCCAAAAGGCCCCAAAGCCAGCGCTCAACGCCCACCTCCAGCGTCCCCACGATAGGAGAGAATATGCTCGGCGCGGCGCGGATGTTGTGGTAGGACGTAACCTGGGGGTCCACCTCAGAATGACGAGGACTACGCAGCGAACGTGCCGGCAAGCGGCGAGCTACAAGAATCCAATATAGCTGCAGGATTTCAGAACGAGAGCGCCTCATTTCGTGCGGGCCTCTCCTAGGAACCGCCGGGAGTGCCCACAGGCTTTAAGCTGGGCAATGTAGCCACCTAAGCCTGAGTTGTGAGAGGACCACCAGCCTCATGTCATCATGAAAGCCCAAACCTGAACGACGGAAGCATCTCATAGAACCTCCAACACCAAAGCGACTCGGAGAGCTTTTTCTGTGTGAAATCCATGATCCCCCCGGCACACACACACACACACAAACACACACACACACACAAACACACACACACACACACACAAACTCACATACACATAGACATACACATACACAGACACACACGCAAACCCTGCGCCCCTTAGGAAGTGCCCAAACGCAGCATAGAAATACACGACGACCGCCTCAAGCGATTGTTTATGAGCCTGTATTTGATCAACGAACCGCGACTACTGGAGCCCTCAAGCCCTAAACCGATCACCTGGGCGATGGACTTTGAGCAATGCACAATGCATGCGCAACCAGAGCATACGGACATAAATCTGGAACACCATGTGTATACACTCCTTGCAGCTCTAGTGGTCCAACTCCACGTGGCCTGGTAGAGCCCCGGGCCGCGGTGTGCCGAACGGCCCCGTCGAAGTTGGCGCTCTGCCGCGGCCTCTGCTGCAGAGGCCTCCAAGGTTTTGCAGTGCGAGATGTTGGTTGGAGGGGTGCTTTTCCTGCCGGCTTGCAAGCTGCTTTGAAGCTGCCTTTTGGGCTATTGAAATCGGTCGTCGAAGCATCCGTCAGGAGTATGGGGATTCGGCACCCAAGTACACCTGAACTTTCGGGCAGGGTTTACAGCATGCTACGTCACACCAAATGTGCTCGGGCTTCAGGATTATGGTGGATTCCTGGTAGATGCTCGGAACGGCTTTGCAGGCCTCTCGCAGAAGTTTCACATTCTAGCATTCGTGTTCAGATTGCTTGAGCCACGGGAGGTTGGCCTCTGGGCTGATCTGGCATCCGGCTGTTTGCTTTCCGGTATGAGTACAGTCTAAGTCCTTCATCACACAATGCAAAACGCACGTGGCACAGCAATTTGGAACTGCAGGCTTGCATTTGGCAGCGAAAGAGGAGAATGCGTCCATCTGGCTATGAGCCAAATCTGAGTCTGAGAGGCCTGGTGCATCTTGGCAGGGTTGGAGCCTTGCCAGGAGATTTACAGGCTCTCAGCCCACATAGCCTAGGGCCTATGAGTCTCGGCTTTGTAAAGAACGGAAGGGACGTCCTGAAGGATCCACGATACTGCCCAACACGATCGTACGATTATGGACTGGGGCTCAACAAGCAACCGATTGCGATAACTCACAACTTCGTATTGTTTCTACTGGTCTCGTACATACAAAACTCGCAGACGGCAAACGACGAGGATGAGATTCGCGTAGGAGCAGTGGCAGTGAGTTTTGCCTTTAATTAACCGACTTGCTGATAATGCCACGGATCTCAGCAAAGCTGTCCATGTTACCGAATAAACATGACCCCTTTGAAGTGGTACTGATACAGAACCTGTCACATGTCGACTGCCCAGATGACTGCAGTGTGAGTATAGGATTCCATTCCAGAACCCAGAGCCTCACACCTCGTAAGCACTGCCAAATACCCCGGCCCTGACCTAGGTCCACATGTAGTGCGAGTGGTTTTCAACACCTCGCTCGAGGTGCGTCATGCACTGTGGTAGGCAGAATACTTCAAGCCAGAAAGAATCCGGTGTGGCAGTTTGAACCTCTGTGAGAACGGGACACCTCCCCCAAAAGCGCGAACTGGTAGCGTGATCCGCTTCCGCCGGCAGAGGCGTGCACAAGCGGTCCTACGGCCATGAGCTCTCCTTTGGAGATATGCCACGGCGGCGCTTGGTTGTGATTTTAAGGGTAGGGCCAAACGTGGTCAAATCAAGACGTCCACAGCAGCAGGCTTTTCGTGCCTAGGTTTAGGGTCTGCTGTACTCTGCTCATGCCTGTTCAGGGTGAAGTGGGTTAAAGGATTAACTCACGGTCTTAGGGCAAGGAGGCGTGTGCAGCAACTATTTGTCTCTCAGCTGTTCTGGACTCACTTCCGGCTTGTGAGTGACGAAGTCAGGATGGGCCACTGATTCATCTCCAGAGCCATCATCTACCTGTAATCTTCAATGTGTAGTTCCCCTGCCAGCTTGAGCGGTGTCATGGCAGCGGCAGTCTCGATCACACTCGAGCTCAGCAGGAACAGCGAACCGCCTCAATCCGACTTGGCAACAGCAATAGTAGTGTCTCCCTGTCAAAGCTCGGATGCCTGAGCTGTGGTCTTCTCATCTGCTATCAACTGACGTGCCCGCAACACATTGCACACAGCCTGCAACTTGGGGTGCACTCCGAAGTTTAGGGTGCTTTGATCTTAGTCATATCTGCGTGCGTACGCCAAGTACAAGTCCTCCTCGATATACTTAGGCCCATAATGCAGTCTTCCAAAACTTACGCTGTATGTGTCGATGCCCACAAGAAGATCCCATTTATCCGCACTCATTGATTCTTTAGGGGAGCCCATGCAGCGAAACCAGTGTGTGCGTATCGTGTGTGTATATATATATACTTACGTATATGCAAACACACATACAAATGGAGGAAAATCACGAGACTGCATAATGTGTACGAGTGAACACATCCGTACGTCTACATATATACATATCAATGAACGTATACAAAGAGAAAGCTACGAAGCTTTATTGGGCGTGAATGAATGGAGCCGGCGAGTGACTCCAAGAGCGACTGCCACGGAACCAGGGAATTGTTGAAGCTCAGAGCCGCGGGCAACGCGCTTTCGCGGACCAGCCGCAGACAGGCCGGCATTGTTCCAGCCTGGGGAGTCTTGGCCCAGGCTTTGCCAGGCTTTGGGGTTTCAGCAGAGCTGCAGGCGTCCACTTCTGACCACATGCAACTGTGTGAATCTTTGCGAAAGTCACAGAGCTGCTCCAATACTTAGAGCTTCGTCTGAATTCAGTTGAATTCTGGAAGGTACTGAAGCCACGCAGTCCACCAGACCGATACTCTCAAAGTCACACAACACCCGTGCAAGGCTTTCCAGAGTTGCCCCTAGGACCGACGTGCTGGTGTGCTGGGCGTGCCTCCGTGGCCCAGGTTGTTGGCCTGAGCTCGACTTCAGCGCATTTCAAGGGGAGGCCGAGCACTTGTAGTACCGTTGCTGAAGAGGATGTTAACAGAACATCAAAATAACACAAGATGCACTCTAAAGTCTGACGGGTCTAATCACTGCAGTGCTGTAATGATTGAAAGATTGCGGCTGTTCGTACAAGCGAGTCAGAAAATGTCGGTACTGGTCCTCATGCAGTTGTTCGGGTAGTGGTCGTCGTCTAGTTAAAACTTCCTGAGACCTCCACCTTGGATAGGTGGCTCGCGGCAGCGAGGCCCAGAGTACGGAGGCAGCAAATACAAACATCTCTAAGAACCTGAACCTGAAACTGATCCGTACAATCTAAGCCCTTCATGTTGCAACTCTGACTTTGACATCGTGAAGAAGAAACAATGAGTCAATTGCATCCTCAGCAAGTTGTGCATTTCCGAGGGCGGATGTAGCTTTAATCATTGTTTGACCCACTTCAGTTTAATTTAAGACTCGGGGTTGCAGGTTCGTCGTACAGTATCGTTGCGCCAGCTTTTGTGGCATAACAACTTAGTGGCATGCAACTGATCATTCATCTCTGGCGCCTTGGCACCGAATAAACGGCCGTGTTTGCACGGCCACGCCATCCAGGTGCAGCGGCATGTAGCAGCGGTATTACACTATATAGAGCACGAACGCACGACAGAGACATAGAGAGCGAGAGAGAGAGAGAGAGAGAGCGCGCGCATGAGCACGTGCACCTAGAGGTGTATGCGGTTCAAGAGACACGCGACAAGGACGACGTTGTTCCAAACCCCGAGGCCAAGCCCCGGGCACTAAACGACTCTGCCGGGCCGGATGACATCATCCCAGTCCCCATCACGGGTACCTGATCCGACTCGGAGAGCTTATCTTCTCTGAACTCAGATCGACTGCATGGCTACGACGAGCAATGAGCAGAGGGATTGCCTTAAGTTTCCACCATCAGAGAATCCGAAGAAAAGATAGTGAGACAGGAAGTCCTGCCTTTACTCGAGGAACTTTGATGCCCCAGATACAGACAATGCCATGTGCTTGTTCACAACTTTTGTGTCACATGCGATTCTATCGTACAAGTTGCCTGCTGCATTGTAGACGGGTGCGACCTTTTTGAAGTACGACCTACTTTGTTGGACTACTCGACCTGGCTGCCTCCCGTGTTCAGCCGGCCCTGAAGCCGCGAATCACGCCCGAACGCCTGGTTGTGGGCGAACGACGGAATGGGCATGTGGCCAATCGGGCCTTGGCTCTTGTCAAGATTCACCGACCGTGCCCACGTGGAGGGCCGGCGCATGCAACACTCTCATATACCCTGATTCCTGTGAATGTGCAAAAGACTTTGCAGTCAGTGAAGAGTATATCTGCATGTGCTAAACTAAACACTCCGACAAACTCGTTTCGGGAGTACACGTGCACAGTCAGATTTCCAAAAGTGTTCTTGGACCCTTCGAGCGCTTGCAAGCGCCTCCGCGCACTTCACAAGCACAGCTACAGGTCAAACCCACAAGTCTTTCACAAGTGGACCAGACATTACTGATTAGTCAGGCAAGTGCCACTTCACCTGCTGCCATAATTACTTCATATTCTTCTTTGCCAGAAACGTTGCTGCGAATCTGCATATCCTACAACCGTGGAGAGGCGGCTCCCCGTTCGCCCGAAGCAAGCCTGGCTAGAAACTCCCCAAACAGACTTGAAGTTGTCGCTCCTGGAGGCATTATTCGGGTTCGGGATGAACGGGAGGTGGGCGGGGAAGTGGGATAGGGGATGAATACATCCGAAGCATCTAAACCCTTAAGCTGAGGTCAGAAGCTTCAGAAGGAAGACCGGAATCCCTGAAGCGCCATTGCCAACGGATCTTCCAAAGCAGTCAGAGAGCCACCACCGGACGCTGCCACAGGTATGTGCTGCCTTGGAGAACAAGCTAAAGCTTCAGGTTTCGGGTGTCTGAGTGTGCTACTGCAGATCTAGACCTCAGGTTCATGGAGAACCGGAGTAGCGTAACCAAATCACAGCGGCGCTCTCCAAAATCCTCAAACCCCAGCCCAGTATGCATCAGCTTCATCTCTTTACGCATAAGTAAGCTTCACAGACATGTCAGAAACGAATGCTTCCTCGAAGGTAGGTAGGAAGCGCAAAATTCCACCAACTGAGTGAACCCATCAAAATCAGCACGTCTTCTCAAGACTTTGCAAAGCAGACCAGGTGCAACGGCAGCCCAGAGAGAGGCGCTTGAAAGTGGCTGCTTTGAGACAGCTGTTCAAAGGTCTGCTGCATGCCTGGCTGGGAGCTTGGTGGCCATTGCTGTCAGGATGGACCAAGCATGCATGAGTTGGACGTTCCGATCTGAGTCGGTGGGAGCCATCTTGTTCGGCTCAAGGACCACATACACTGCAATCCACAGTCGAAAGTTTGAAAGCCAAATTCTGGCAACTGCCCTTGCAGCCTACAGACTGGCCTACAGAGGTATGACCCTAGTCGCAAAGGCACACGCACCTTGAAGTGACACTGGCTGCGAGGAGGAGGAGGACGTCGCCGCGTCCTTGCACGTTTGAATCATTGCTGCTTGGCTTTCCTTCGGAGCTGTTCAGGGTAACGTTCTGGGGGCTATGGATGGTGATTCTACGCGTTGTTCGTATCTAGATGGTCGTGGGTGTTGTTCCGAGGTTGCTCAGTGGAAGAAATTTACCATGGGAATTGAAGCCACGGCTTTGTGGGGATCGTTTTCAAGGAGTGGTTTAGATTTCTAGTCTTGGGTTGCTCTAGGACTGTGCAGTGCAGAAGCGTGGGGGCGGGTCGAGTACGAATTCGAGCAAAGGTCAAAGCAACGGACCACAAATCGAACAGCAGGACGTACTATAGTGCAATCGTGTTTTTGCTTGTTAGAACCAAAAATTCACGGATGCACGTAAGACCAGCAAAGCCATGCCAAGGCAACGAAGGTGCTAGTCAGAAGTTGGTTAACCAATGCCTTTCTATGAGACTTCGAGTAAGTATAGCAAAACCATGAAACGGGAGGCGCGAGTTCGCATGAAGTTGTGAGTGAACCTCTGTGTGTGTGTGTGTGTGCGCCTTTGTTCTTTGTCCCTTCGTTCGCCTGCTTGTGAGCATGTGCGATGTATGGCTCACTTTCTGTCTCTCTCACGCAATCTGTCAGTTGCTCTATCTGCCCGTCCGTTTGTCCGCAAAGCAGATCTGTTCGTCTGTCGGTACCTACATACCTGTCTCTCTGACGAGAGACCGCCGGTTCATACTTTTGTCTGCTCGTCTGAGTGTGTGTGTGTGTGTGTGTGTGTGTGTGTGTGTGTGTGTGCGCGTGCGCACACGTGCGTGTGTCCGCATTTTCGGGCAAGCAAGCAGCAGGGCTCCTTTCGAAGTGAGCCCAGCTGCCGTCAATCCCGAACAGCCAGACACTGATTCCAGTCCTAATCGTTAACCTGCTGAGTGCAGAACGAGAAACAACCTCATCTCCAAAATATGCTCACCCCTCGAATCGCAAGCCACAAACCCCGAAACTCAAACCATGCGGCTGCCTAATCTAAGCCCCCAATAACCCACCCCTGGGTCCTGGCGCGGCTGGTACTGCTCCGCAGCACTTCGAAGATGCCTCCAAACGCAGCTCTTGGATTGGCGCGAGTTTCGTCAAGTGGGCTTGCTACAAGGGTTGTTGGTTTGGGGTTGCAAAGTTGGTGCTTCCAGGTCCAGCACACAAGAAAGGTCGATTTGGAATGCACCGCAGGAGTGCTTGCAGGGTCCGTGAGGACGATCTCACGGAAAAAGTATGCTTCCAGGGTTTCGGGTTTAAGCTGTCTTTGGCTTTGGGGATTTTGTGGTTCAGGCCGGACGCTACGGCCAAGAAAAGCCCAAGGCACGAAACCCAAGCCACGATCTGCGCGGTCACCATCGAACAGCTTCGAGCATACAAGAAATGTCTCGCCGATCTCAACAGTAGTCACCAGACGAAACTCGTTGCCGAACAATTTAGAAGAGGTCCTCCAAACGACTCGAGGCAGAAACTCGTGAACATCATGAGGACTAATATTGCTGGAAAGTAGCAAGCCTAGGCCCTTACAAACCTCAACTCAAAGACGAACTTTCGAGGCGCAAACCCGCAATCTGCGCCTTTCACCAGGTGATTAACGGACTTTCTGAGACTCTTTCCAGTCCGGGGTGCTGTGGGAGGATATTCAGCGAATCGTTCCGTGTAGGCTCCTGGCTGCCGAGTGCCCGCCCACGATGCTGGAACTTCACAAACAGAGCTGTCCAGTTTCATTGTCATCGTCATCACTGTCCTCACTATCAGCATATACGTATTCCACACAACTGATTCTTCTGACATCCTGATGCATCTGTGATTTCTGTATTGAGCAATGGAAGCATCAAAGGGTTCAGACACAGTAGTCAACTGCTACACTCGACTAGTACCAGATCGGTCATGTGCTTCTGTTCGGAACCACATTCAGACTGTAGCTGCTATTGCAGTGTCCAATAACATGCTTGTCGCTGTTGTTTCTGATGCTGTTCTCCGATTAGCTTACATACATGATCAGAATCGTTATCACTCCTCTCGTCACATTTGTTGGCTCTATGGGTGACAGCACTACTTGCAGTGCTCCTCCTTAGATTGCTGCTGTGTTTTTGCTTGTTGGTTGTTGTCCTTGTCGTGCTGCTCCTGCATTTTTAGCTGTTTCCGAAAAATGAAGATGAAAGTTTGGGCCGTAGCTGGAGATCCGAGCCCCAAGTCCTGGGACTGCTTCTTCTGCGACCAATAGAGCTCCATGACCTGCCCACGCGAAGTTTAAGCGTGCAGAATCAATGAACCTCAAAACTCTCGAGAATATTCATGTCTAATGTCGAAGGCCTGCGAACATGTCGCTCTGATCGTGTCCATCGGCCCTGTCTTATGCTGGAAACAGAGCTGCGCACGCGACACGTGTAGTCTTCTTGCAGCCTGGCATTTGGATAACAAACTGAAACCCTGATTTTCTGAGCTGTCAGGGTTCCCAGAACTTTCATGTCGCATTGGAATGCGGTAGCCTGATCCAGGAGCTCTCCATCAAGCGCCAGCCCAGCCGCCTCAAAGCAATTGTAAGTTTTTGCTTATTCGAGGCGCCAACCACCTCATATCCAGAACTATGACCGTGCTAAAAGCAATGATAGCGGTGATGACGAGGATGATGATGATGATCATGATGATGATGGTGATGACGATGATGCTTGCTTTCTTGATTTCTTCTCTTGATTTCTATTAAGGCGTCAAGACGCTTCTCTCCTGCCCAATGGGCACTCGTGCTCTGCCACTAGAAGTGGCTGGGTGTGACAGAAGCTCACAATTGAGCACACGCTAGCCGGATACTCTCCTGCTGCGGTGGAAGAAGACGATGATGCTGGTAACCAGCTGGTAACGATGACGATGATTCATATTAGTAGTAGTATTCGTATTATATACTATTATTCGTATTAGCATTAGCATTCGTTAGTATTGGCGTGTTGGAATTATTGTTGTTGTGGCGTTCGTTTCGTTGCAGTCCTCGTCGTGTGATTGTGGTTGTGCTTGTGGCTGCTATTGTTGTTGTTGTTGTTGTTGTTGTTGTTGCTGTTGCCATTGCTGTTGCCGCTGTTATTGTTGATGTTGTTGCTGCTGGTGTTGTTGCTGTTGTTGTTGTTGCTGCTGCTGCTGCTGCAATTGGTGTTGTTCATATTGGTGTTGTTGTTGATGTGGCTGTGGTTGCACTTGTGGTTGATGTTGCTGTTGCTATTGATTGTTGCTGCTGCTGCTGTTGTTGTTGTTGTTGCTGCTGGTGTTGTTGCTGTTGTTCTTGTTCTTGTTCTTGTTGTTGTTGTTGTTGTAATCTTGTTTTGATGGTGCTGCTGCTGCTGCTGCTGCTGCCGCTGCCGCTGGTGCTGGTGTTGGTCCTCGTGCTGCTGCTGCTGCTGCTGCTGCTGCTGCTGCTGCTGCTGCTGCTGCTGCTGCAAGGTGCTGGCGCTGGCACTTGCGCTGGTGACGCTTGCCCGGCAGTGCCAGCCGGCGCTGGTGCTGGTGGTGATGGTGCTGGTGGTGATGGTGCTGGTGGCGATGGTGCTGGGTGCTGGTGGCGGTGGAGGGGGCGGTGGTGCTGGTGGTGGAGGTGATGCTGGTGCTGGTGGTGGTGGCGCCAGTGCTGGTGCTGGTGCTGCTTCTACCAGACTGCCAACAGCTAACCCACAACGGCGAGAACACCACCAGAACAACTAGCAGAAGAAGAGCAGAACAACACCTCCCTCCCGCTCCCCAGAACAACACACCGGGCACCACCGCACGGAACAACACCAGAACAACACCGCCTGAGAAACCAGGGCTCCAAACCTGCAGAACGGAAAAAGAGGGAAAGGGGAACAACACTCCCTCCCCGGAAGAACAACCTACGGGGCTCCAGAATCTGTTTCTTCATCCTGTAATAGAAGCACACAGGCAAGAAGTTGCTTTTCGGATGGAGCTCCTGTGTTTGTTCGTTCCTTGTTGTTGTTGTTGTTGGTGGTGGTGGTGGTGGTGGCGGCGGGGGTCGCTCCGAATCATGTGGCCTCCAATGTCTGCAAATGCCGTGCATCTGGATGCTTTCGCGAAGGCAAGCAAGCGACGGGTGTATCGGTATCTAAAGGTTGCTCGTCACTTTGTCCGTGAGGCTCGTGCTCAGTGTTTGAAACTCTTTGACAATTACACATCATGTTCTTAAACCTGTTTCGGCGGATCTGCGCGGCATGCCTCCATGCGAAGGAGGAAGTCGCTACATGAGGGTAGGTCGACCACCTTCGGAATGTTTCGATGTCCAAGTAGCTCGGCTTTAAGTGTAAGGATTCAGTTTGTGGGTTTCAGTGCTGATGGATGCTTCAAACTACGGCGTTCTGTCGGAGGCCCGGCTCATCCTACATTGAATTGGAATCCGGCTGCCATGTCTCCTACTAACAACTGAATTGAGGCTTTAGGACATGCTTAGGGTTTGGGCTCTGGGGTTCAGGAGAGACGTTGACTCTCGGCGTTGTATGCCTACTTCTTGAGCTTTCACCGCGACTTACAGATTGAGCCTTTGGACAGATATATGTAGCCGAGCAAACTTCCCAAGCTCAGGTGCTCGATGCAACACATCTTCTGTTCCATCATGGAGTCGGGCACTTATGCGCCGAATCCGAAGGGTCTGGAGGCAGAGTACCCATCCGTTGGTCAACTTCGAGCCGCAACCATCTTCTGGCTGTGCTGCAGCTTTCAAGCTGAAGCTGCACCCCATATCAAAACTGAGAGGCCCCGACAGGCCTTGATGCAGGATCGCACCATAAGTCCGAACGTCTCGGAGAGAATCTCCACCTCGTGCTTTGCCCCGAAACCCTGAGCCCGCAGTGTACCCGATGCGGAGCCCGGTCCTTCGGAGAGTCTCCTAGCATCCACCAACTCCCGACTCACGTCAAGAACAGGCAGTGACCCCTGACCAGTTCTGCATTAACGGCCGGCAAGGCTTCGGAACAACCACATGCACACAAGAAATCCACCACCCTCACCGTGTTCCCTAGGCAGACTTGGGTTCGGAGCTTGATGCAGTTCATCGCTGAACATTGAGAAGAGCAGCAAAAGATACCCTTGCATCGAGATCGTACAGAAGGAAAACACGTCGTCTTCTTCTCGCTAATCCTTCAGGACGCCTAAAGGTGCCCGACTGCGAACCTCAAGCCTGAACCCGAAATGGTGAAACGGCTGATTCTGCAGCTGGTGTCTATTCTTCCTTCAACTTCGGCCTCGACGTCCAGTGATGTCGACTACTACTACCCTGAAACAATCGCTTGAAATAGTTCTCAATGCCAAGCATCTCCCAACGATAGGAGCCTAAACCCTGGGAGCCGCACTGAAGCGGCGGTGAGCTGGTCGGAGAGGCTCCGGGCCACACTTCCCAGCAGCGAGTTGGGCCTGAGCTGCTGAGCCGGGGAGGAAGAAGCGTGGAATTCACCAAGCACTCTCTGACTCCTCTGTGAGAAATTACCTCCGGAGTCGGGTCGCACGGCTTCAATCCTTGGGAGTTCTGAAGCTCCGATAATTGAAGCTCTCGCAACACACGCGCGTCGTGCCTTCGATGAGTTCGAAATCGATTCTCTCCACCATCCCTAGGCCCTAGGTTCACACAGGACTTCTGGTAAGTTGAAGGCCCAGAAGCTTCCATCTCCAACACTCCGTGGAGGACCATCTGAGCCTCCCAAGAGCGATCGAACATATTAGGTGTCCGATCATTCCGTTAGCTTTGCCCTCTCCCAGATCAAGTCCAGGGTTTGAGTTGACTGATGGCACCCGGTTGCTTCTTCAGCGATTGTGCTCATACTCTTGAACGACGACGTTTTCCATTATGCGTAACGAATAACATCACTTACATAGATTGGGTTCGGGCTGCTGCTCAGGGACGCGCTTTGGAATGTTTCATTTTGGGCTGCGTGCTTTGCTGTCCCGAACTCGACCTGCAGGGTTTTGGATTGCGATAATCAAACTACAGCCAAGGCCAGGGATGTTCGCCGCAGGGCAAGTCAAAAGGGAAGGTTGACCAAGCTGACTCAGCTGACTGTCCCTGATGCAAGCAAGTCATTGCCGCAGAGCTCAAAAAATATTGAGAGATTTCCTTCCGCCTTGTGAATTAAAAGCTTCCATGAGGCCCAAGCAAGCCTCGATCCGTCCCAGAAGCGCGTTCCACTTCAAGCTTGGAAGCTGCAAGGCTGAAGCTTGAAAGTCGTGCGAGGATCGAAATGCGTCTGGCTGCGCCCTCCAAATCGGCCCGAAACCACAATTAAAGCTTCGGAAGCTTCAAATTCCTCCTGCCCTCGAAGGGCACAGACTACAGCAGGACTCTGACGGTAGGCGGCCTCTCGATTTGCTTGCAGAACATCCTTCCCGCTCACCTCCGTTGCCTCTCCCCAGAGGCCCGAGGCTTGCTGCCCTATGGCCCTACGTACTTTAAACCGCAAGGAAACATTACGAACTCGAGAACCGCTACCATAGTCAACCATGAGGGCTTCACGATTGTAGCGTGCATGAAGCAGGGTTACGTACGATTCTCTACGATGTTTTCACAACCGCCTGAAGCAAGAAGTCCACCGAAGTCGTCGAAAGCCTGGTGCCTCCAAGCCCCTCAGAACTAAACACAAGTGGCAGATGCACAATTTGGGCTCAGTGAGGGGCTTGACAATACGGTCCGGCTTGGTTAGGTGTGTAGTGAAGTACGTAGGATTTCAGCGAAGCGCCGGATCGATTTTTGCCGTGCCCCTCTTTCGGCTTCTGTCGTCAGACGATGAATGTGCGCAGTGCAGCTTCACGACTAACCAAATCTCGTCTGAACCTGTCGCAAGCAAGACTTCCCGTTGTCCTCGGCAGGTGCCTTTCTCGGCGGAGGGGGCGGATCTCCTCTGACGGAGACTGATGTTTGTGCCAGGGCCATTAACAGCTTCGGTGGTCGCTGTTTACTTTACCCATATTGGCGCGATCTAGGCGCATGGCTTATGCCCCGAACCTGGTTTCTTGATGAGATGCTTCGCAGCCAGGGGTTCTGCCAAAGATTCGCGGAGACCACTGGCTCAATCTCGACGAACGACATTCCAGCCGTTCACAGATTTGATTAAGTGATGTTGAAGTGCGGATGCACAGCGGCGGTTCTGTCTGCACAGGTTCAAACACAGGGCTCCTTCTGTAATGCTAGAATTACCGAGCTGCTGTTCGTCGGCTTTGGGTTCGAAGAAGAACTGGCTTTGCACTTTTTTGGACCGAAATCCTCAGAACCGATCCACAAGGCTGGAAACATGTTCGGCTTCCTGGATATTTTGGGCTCATGCGGCGATTACCAGGATGGCATGTAGAGGCTACAAGCTCGCGTCTCGGCTGGAGGCTTCCGCCTGCATCTTATTGAGGCCAGACCGAAAAAAAGTCACTGACAAATTCAATCCTAATCTCAAGCCGTAAACCTTCAGGAATTCTCAACACCCTAAAGGATAGGCCAACCACGACAAGCTCACCTAAATCCCGACTTAGTTCAGACCGCTCGTGCAGCAAAACCCATGCGGCACGGCCTGCCGGCAGGAAGACACGCTGAGGTTCTTTGCGATTGAAAGCCACGAAGTTGACGAGACTCTCGAAATGCCTAACTCTTTGACGAGCGGCTGGCTTAGTCAGAATCTTTCCCGAATGCTTCTGCTGAGTTACCGGCTGCATCTTCGTCAACAGCACCACTGTCTTGGTTACCGTCGCCATCAACAACGTTCCATCACCAGAATCATCCTCAATCTGCTTCTGCTCGTCCTGTCTTCATGGTAAAAGGCATGACTACCTCTCAGTCTCGCCCTCAGCATCATCACCATCATCACCACCACCATCACCATCACCACCACTGTCACCATCATCTTCTTCCTCCTCCTCTTGTCCCTCCTCCTGATCCACCTCCCCAATATCATCCAGATCAATATGACGATGATTATGACGATGATGATAACGATGACGATGGCGAGCACGATGATGACGATGGTGATGATGATGATGATGATGATGCTGATGGAGAAGATGATGACTCAAGTGACCTCACCACGGGAGGTTTGTTCCAATACTTTCAAAGAGCAGCGCGCTCTTGAGCAGATGAGAGAATGCAGCATGAAGGAACTGCCATTCTAGGTAGGGCAGCTTCGCTTTGGGTTTTTGGATCAGCTTCAATATCAAGCAGGTCTCTCTCTATGAGGGCACACCTGCCAAGCCATAGTTATTGGTCGGTGTGACGTAGTCATACTGAAGTGCGCACGCTGGTGAAGAGACTCCTCTTGCCGCGGTGGAAGAAAGGAGAAGATGATGATAATTCACCGCCGCCGCCACCAGCACCAGAACTTTTATTATCATTGTCATCACCATCATCATCGTCATCGTCATCGACGTCATCACCATCACCATCACCAACACCATCATCATCGTCATCATCATACTAGTATCTGTGTGAGAGACATTTGTGAATAACGACAACAGCCCAACACGAGACAGCACCCTGACCTCCGAAGCTGCGCAAGTTGAAGTCGGCTTTTTGGGTTTTCGGATCGCGACTCGCGACACGATAAGGGTAAAGCAAAGCAGATTCGCTGTAAACTCAGAAAATATCCGCTTGTGGCTAAATTGGCGCAAACGAGTCAACCCTGTGTGTCTCGAACACACATTGAGACCGGCACATTCTCCGCAACGCATTTCTGTCCTCCTCCGGCACGATATCCTGGCCACGGCGTGACTTTACGGAGAAAGAGCCGGCCAATCTAGGCTCAGCTGTGTTCCAGAGGAGAGACGTGTTTGGCTCTCCGGACTCTGCATCAACCCCACGAGATGGAAAATCCATCAGCAAAACCCAGCGGCCAAAGCGCAAGACGTCGATGGAATGAGAACTAACTTGAGCTGATATCCTGGTGACTGTAGTACTCTTCCTGATCACGGAGTGGACATCTGGAACTACGCTTCAATGGATATTGCGACACGTGCGCCGGTGAGCTGGCCGCAGAGGGCGAGGCTTCTTATTGCGACGTGACATGAAACGTGCAGTCTGAGGAGGGTCAAGGCCGGGACACTTCCCAGACCGCTCAACAGGGAGTTCTGGGATGCACTGCGGGTCAAGGAGGCCCAGGTGCCTTGTCTGCCGAGGATTTTCTGGAAGAGACCTCCTGCGTCTTGGCCGGCCTCGGAAGCACCACTTCCTCACTACTGACCCACTGAAACCCTGCAGTTGAGAGCGCAAGCCTCCGATGCCTCACTGGAGGCTCAGACACACGGCTGAGACGTCGAGGGCTCACCAGGCTGCCAGCGCTAAGTGGAGCGAACAACACAGGATAGCAGTAAGGTCCTAGTCAGTCTCAGTCCTAGAGGAATACTACTGTGGTGGTGCTCGGATATCAAATACCAGCAAGTAAGCAATCGGCAGCTTACATCGAACATCAACAGTTGCGAACCTACTCGATACTAGCATATACCAGTACCTAGACGCAGCAACTTGGGGTATTGGGGTTCAGTGCCACTTCTGCTGCTGTCGAACTGCAGCCACCGTCTGAGGTAGACTAAACTGCTACGACAAGACTCCTGAGATCCACAGCGTCGACACTTTCGCACCACAACCGAAGACCCAGACGTGCCACCTTTTGTTCCTCGCCGGATGTGCCAAGCAATGAAGCGATGCTCTCGCAGAGATTTCCATGACTCTTGTCGAACATTCATCACATTCCAGCTACCAGCGAGCGGTTGGGGCTCTCCAGGCCCTCAGATCGGGATGCTCTTGAAGAAGATGCCCTTGATGGCACACAGAAGAACCTGAGTCCGTCAGTGTCTGTTCGATCCAGTCTGGAGCTGTCAAACATGTGAATGTGAGTGTTACGATCCACTTTGAAGCGAGCTGCAACAAATCCCAATCTGAAACACTTACTTACTAACACCATGCCCATCCAAAAGCAGGTGCATTGTGGAAGTGACGAAGTATGTCTCGGACCTGCTGGAAAAACTGTCCAACAGGCCACCAAGCCCTAAAATACCTGACACCTCTGAAACTCCCACACTTCGAACGCGACGATATCACGAGCCAAGTGGCTAAGCCCTCTGTCCACTTCTCCCCGATCATGGAAGGCATGAAGCCAGCACCACGAGCGGCGAGTGACTCGATGTAAAGGCGCCTTATGGTCTGGTGCGGATGCGCATAATTTCTGGTTTGGCTGTCCATGTTCTTTCCTATCTTGTTGGAGGATTTCCGACCCTGGGCCTGCAATTTATCCGCTGTAAGCTTCGGCTTTTCCTGCCTTGCAGACCGAGGTGCGCGAATGTAATCCTGCCATAGGCGGTCAAAAGCAGTGGCAACAGGACAATCGGTCCGAAGACGCTGGCCGCCAGCATAGTGCACATCAGGTACATGGGCAAGGATTCCTCAATTCTGGGTAGGTATAAAAGCTCGACCGAAGCCAGAATAAGTGTCGAAGTGTGGGTTGGCAAACACTCAGGCTTTAGGGCTTGACGACCACACATTGCAACTATCCACAGCTGGCACTGCTATCCAAGCCCTCAAGCTCCAATGGCTATTGTTGCACTGTGTTTAATTTGGTGACCCTCTTTTGGACGTTGCTTCTCCCAGACCCATTCTGGATTTGGCAATTTCTTGGTGCTCCTGTGTCATGCGCAAAAACTCGAACAAATTTTTCTGTTCTGAGGGCTCAGGCTTGGGCCCTACTTGTACATGGCATCTATCCAAGGTTTTTGTTTGGGGCCCCGGTTTGGGGACTGAAGAGAACCTTAACGTTTTGGATGCTTTCCAAGGGGTTTAGCGGGGGCTGCGGCATTTAACTCAAGTTTGGGTTTTGGAACTGGGGACAGGAGCCTCAACATTTGGGGAAGCCTTTTCTAAGGGGTTTAAGGGGGGCTCAGCTGAGCTCTACAGGCAGGTGGGTTTTTACCCAAGGTGTTGGGTTTTGGACTGAGGACAGGAACCGTGACATTTCGGAGGCTTTCTCCCGCGTTTAGGATGGTTCAGGCTAGGGTTCTAGATGATTGACCTTCTTAGGGGTTTAGGGTTTAGGTTTCTGGGTTTGGGGACTGAGGACAAGAACACATTCTGGAGGATTTCAGGTGCGGGGTCGCCTAAGGTTTGGGGTTTGGGACTGAGGACAGGAATGTTAACATGTTCGAAGCTATCAAACGGGTCTAGGAGGGCAGGCCCCTGAAACCAACCGGAACCCTTCCTCGCAGCCTTATACTACAGTACCACCACTGATTACTACTGTACTAGTATGATTTTGTACTGCTTGCTCTACCAGGACGCAGGGGGTCTTGGAGCACACAGGGATCATATCACTCAGCCGCCGGGAAATTGTTGGGGGGACTAAACAAAGTGCAACATTGTCCGTCATCCTTGCGCAACAAGCTACACCTTGCATGTTCGATCCCCTGAGGCCCTAAGCACTGAGCCAGCATGGACCCGAGAGGCGTCTGTGTTGTACATCGACCGCTGCGCGCGGTTAAACCGTCCAACTGCCCCTGGAGACGTCAAGGGCTCAGCCGTTTATGGCGGAGGATTGACAGAGTCGTCTTTAGTGTAGTAGTAGTACCTACATGTCGCCGCACACGGGCATGCATGGGCCCCGGCCTGTGTTCGCCATGAGAACGTAAGGTGCGTCCTGCCACATGCGTCAGATCCGTGCCAGCTTCCAGCTCTCACTATTTCCATGATGCGCAAAGCATGAAATCAGTCACTCCAAACACGCACTTTACATGGAGGAGTAGCGGGGTCGGTACAGCTTACAACAGGCAATCCACAGCAATCGGTAACAGCGTCTGGCAAAAGTTGATGTCGCAAACCTCAATCCGCACCACAAGCCTCAGCAGCTTCATTTGCTGAAACCACTCTAGCTCTGAACCCTCGGCCACGCCTAGGAACCCCGGCACCTCATCACGCGATTTCACTTCAAGACCTTCACAAACCACGAGTAAAGAGCAGAGAAGCTCCCACAAACATCCTTCGAACCTATTGGGGCCATCTGGGCATTTGGAAACCACGAAAACTTCCGCGTGAAGCTCCGAAGGTGGATCCTTGCATGTTCAAACCATGGCAGATTCATGGGGTCCAAGACGAGCGGCTTCCGTCCGAAACGAACCCGTTTGAAAGCACTCAAGTCCTTCAAAGGGCCCGAGTTGGCCATGATCTTGTAGACGTGCTGGTCCGGCCGATTCACTCGTGCAGGGGCCCTGGCCTTGGTTGGCACCATCGGATTTCGAGTCTCCGGTAGAAGCAGTGCGCACTACGAATCAGCAAGATGGGATACCCGGATGTTCACCTACCGCCGACTGATTCCCAGCTGCGCCATTCGCCAGGATGGTGATAATAGTTCGGGTCAGCCCAACCAGCCAGACAGCAAGAAACCTCCAGGCCGAGCGAGTGGTTGGGCTTGGGACGGTTGGCAAGTGACACGTGGTCCAGAATCGAAAAGCTCAGAAGCAGGGTCGGTATGAGGACAAGGCCAGGGGGGCAACTCCGAACATGTCTCCTTCTTTCCAGTCCAGGAACACGTATCCGAGCTGATACTCGTAGATGAAATGAAACTTGGCATCGTACATGTCCTGCAAAACACTTGATGTCTCTTCCATGCATGAACTCCTGCTGCAGACATTTAAGCCAGTGCCGCAAAACCGCTTTGACTCATGGTTTCTCGTGTCCTGCTGACCCAGGTATCGCCCGGCAACGAAATAAGTAGGCCAAGCCAGAATCTGGCTAAGGATGGGGACATACACGAGCAATAAGCCAACATACCTCGGCTACTGGTGAAAAACTAAATGACCCGACAATTGAACTACACTACCAGACGAGTTAAATAAGCTTGAATCCCCAGACCTAAACAAGAAACCAAGGTAAACCGACAACCGCTAGCTTGCAAGCTGAAACCCTGCATGAATCAAATCCCTGGGGCTTCTTCATCTCTGCTGCCGCCGTCGGTGTGCTGTCAGACAACGGCCTGAGGCCCATCTCGTCGCGATCGGCAAACCTTTTGCAAAGGCCGAGTGCATGATGTGGCGCTTTGTGTGTAGTGCCCCCGGCGGTAAAGTTTTATGTGTAGATGACCATGTGCGTCAACAAGTCCGTGCCTGAACAGATGCCAAATGGGAGGCAGCTTTTCGGTTGAGCGATGCTGTCTCCTTCTTCTACAATCCTTGAAGACCTCGAGAAGTTCAAAATTGGATTCATAATCTACGTAAAGGCTCCTAAACATGCTGTCCAAGCCCGGGGCCTCAGCAATGCTATGCTTTGGCACCCTGTGTTCCCCGGTGCAAGACCCGTGTTCTCTGAGCAGTAGTAGTAGTAGTAGTAGTAGTAGTAGTAGTAGTAGTAGTAGTAGTAGTAGTAGCAGTAGCAGTAGCAGTAGCAGTAGCAGTAGCAGTAGTGGTAGTGGTAGTGGTAGTGGTAGTGGTAGTGGTAGTGGTAGCAGCAGAAGCAGCAGCAGTACGTGGAGTAGCTTTGGGAGTGGGATTGGTTTGTGTGCGGGAGTGGGAGTGAGAGTGGCAGAAGCAGCAGCAGTGGTGGTCGTAGTAGTAGTGGTAGCAGTCTTAGTCGTAGTCGTGGGGGTACGGGTAGTGGCAGCAGCAGTAGCAGCAGGAGTAGCAGTAGCAGTAGCGGTAGCAGCAACAGTAGCAGCAGTACCAGCAGCAGTAGCAATAGCAGTAGCAGTAGCAGTAGCAGTAGCAGTAGCAGTAGCAGTAGCAGTAGCAGAAGCAGTAGCAGTAGCAGTAGCAAAAGCAGTAGCAGTAGCAAAAGCAGTAGCAGTAGCAGTAGCAGCAGCAGCAGCAGCAGCAGCAGCAGCAGCAGCAGCAGCAGCAGCAGCAGCAGCAGTAGTAGTAGTAGTAGTAGTAGTAGTAGTAGTAGTAGTAGTAGTAGTCGTGGTAGTAGTAGTAGTAGTAGTAGTAGTAGTAGTAGTAGTAGTAGTAGTAGTAGTAGTAGTAGTAGTAGTAGACCATAGTGGTGGTGGTAGTGGTAGTGGTAGTGGTAGTGGTGGTAGTAGTGGTAGTAGTGGTAGTAGTAGTAGTAGTAGTCGTAGTAGTAGTAGTAGTAGTAGTCGTAGCAGCAGGTAGTATCAGGTAGTAGTAGCAGTAGTAGTAGTAGTAGTAGTAGTAGTAGTAGTAGTAGTAGTAGTAGTAGTAGTAGTAGTAACAGCAGAAGTAGTAGTAGCAGCAGCAGCAATCGTCGTCGTAGTAGTAGTAGGAGTAGGAGTTGGAGTCGGCATAGTAGTAGGACTAGTAGCAGTAGCAGCAGGACTAGCAGGAGCGTAGCAGCAGCTGCAGTCTAGTAGTACGTCGAGCAGCAGTAGAACAAGAAATAGAAGCAACCTGGCGATGACAGCAAATTTTGGTGCCACAGCGGTGGTGGTGGTGGTGGTGGTGGTGGTGGTGGTGGTGGTGGTGGTGGTGGTGGTGGTGTTCGGAGGAGGACCGGCCACGAGTCAACCGTTGAGAAACTGGAGCATCGAAGTTGGAGGCACGTGATTCACTACTCCCGAGAGAAGAGCACAGTCAGCCTACAGCAAATCCGAGAAGCTCATCTTCGACCAAGGGTTCCGCCGACATCAGCGCCAAAACACAATGCTACGAAACGACAGAGACTGCACTTTGGCGTCTTGCAGAACTTGAGCCGGCAGACTTCCTACAGAGGCCGCGTCTCGGACCCGTAAACAAAGGTTGTACGGCAGGAAAACAGGCATGGCAAGTTTATTGATGCTTCCACCGTCTAAGCATGCTCCGTGTTGGCTGTGTGCATCGGGCTCATGTGGGCTTGGATGCATCATAAGCTTGGAGCTTTGGTTCAGGATGTTGAAGCTTGACGCATAAGCTCTGAACCTTTCGTCAAACCTAACAGTCCAGGAAGTCAGACTTGCGCTTAAAATTTTGAATCCTTCCCAGGCCCAACTTTGCATGCTCAAGCTTCCTATTCCACTCTCCTAAAAATCACAGCCCCAAGCTCATGTCACACTTCAGTCTCGGACCTCCCTCCAGCCAGATCCTCGGGGAAAGGAGATGGATGACGGGATGATGGGAGGCTCTCCCCATGCTGCAAAGACTCAAGTACAAATCAAACAAGAGAGTAGACAGTTATCAGCATTGCCGCAGGAGGTGGGCCGGCGAGGCAGCATCATCCTTTGATGACCCCAGCCGTCTGACAGACACACCTATAAGCCAAGCCGCGTCCGAGACGGGCTGCTTCTCGAAGTCCGCCTTCTCTCCTCTGTCACCAGATCGCTCCTGGAGGTTTTGGGCGAGCCTGCGTCGTGACTATGCAAGATACCATCTGGAATAGTGTACTTTTCATTGTGGGGCTTGCATTCCTGAGCTTTGTACCTGAAGCCATATGACAGTGACATTCAGAAGCCTATGAAAGGTCATGTTTATATGCCCGAGGTCTGGCCCAAAACTGTTGAACCTGAGAGACACCAATCAAGCTTGAAGCAGGTGCTTGTCCGCAACCACGTTCCATAACACATGGTTGCTGTCCTTTTCAGAAGGCTTGTCACGTCCTTCGCGAGCCTTGGGCTTTGCCTGGGTGCACATGCGAACCGGGTTGTCACAGGCATCAGATCCCGGGAAATCGGAGACAGTTTGGCCGCCAGGGCTAGAGTAAAACCCCGGTGTGTTTCGTGCCAAGAAGTCAAAGACCGAAGTTGTCAAGTTTTCCCCGGGCCGAAATTGTGGCATGCCATGCTTGGCAGACAGAACTTCGGCAGCGTTCCTTCCAAAATGATTTGTGTTGAGATGCATTGACATGACATTCCTGCAGATGCAACAGATGCAACAAATGCAAGAACATTTCCTTAGCAGTTGTGTCTCGCCACTTCTGGGCCTCGGAAATACACTACAACCTGCCACGATCGCAAGGAAAGTCTGTAGGCTTGAGCTTGCATCATGAAGGAAGTCCTTCACGGAGTGGTGTGAACTCTCTTCCAAGTTGGGACGGCTCTTCACCAGCATGTTGGGGCACGCCTTCTACGTCAAAGCTGCTATTGGGACAAACTAGTGACCGCGACAACCACCGAGGAACAAAGACGAGCATGTTGAAAGAGCAAACAACGCCGAGTGTACTCCGCAATCACTCGGATGCCATCATAATTCATGCCGCAATTGATCCGTGGTGTAGCTTTCTGACATGGCACAAAATTCACTCAATTAGGTCCACGTTGGCGAGTTGCTCTACTGTCGCCTTTTGTGCAAGGGGTGGGGAGGTCGCCAATTTCGCAGCTCAGGTAATCTAGAATAAGGTACCGCGCTCAGGCTAGAGCTAGAGTTCTGACAAAGCGTTGAGTCTGGGGTGTTTGCGATTGGTTGTGATTGCTTCATCCCCTTATGTGCAAGATCTGTGAACCTCAACCTGTTGGGTCTTGTTTCAAGCTGTGCTTTGACTAATTGAAAAACCGAGATGTCTCAGGACGCTCCGTGTTCAGATGCGCTCTGGAAGTTGTGGCTATGTAGTTCAGGGTTGGGGCTTGTGTGGCCAACTCCTCGTCGCGAGCTTGTTCGGGCGTTTGTCGCCGGAGCTTAGGCCTATGGTGGACAGTTCGTGCTACAGTAGTAAGGCTGCACCTCGTGGGATCTCGTGGGAAAGTGTTGTTTCCAGCAATCTCATGGTTCTCAGCCCCAACTGCAGATTTGGCCGAAAGGGTGAAATCAACTAACAAATAATACATATGTCAAAAAGCTGCCGCAGCACCCAAAACAGCTCCAGTCCATGCTGACCAAAACTAACACCTGAATCCCAAACCCCGAAAGCGGTCACCAGAGCACATGGCTTTCGGTCGTGGAGGCTCCGGCTTCTGCAAGCAGTGGATTTATACGCTTTGAGGCATGTTCAGTACGGCCTAGGGTGCTCATGAGCATCACAGTTCGAGGTAGCCTTGATCTTGAATACTGAACACATACTCATGCTGCGAAAACCAGAACAAATGGAGCCGGATGGTAACCCGGATTAGGTGGCTAGGCCGGCACTCAAAAGTTCATGATCTAACATTGAAGGGCAACGATTGGCCAAAGGCACCTCAATTGCTCAGCCTTTTCGTCCACTGCCTTGTCGGGAGAGCCAGCTGAGAGCTGACATTGCCCTTCCAACCGCCCTCTCTTAAACCTGCCACTGGCAGGAGCCTATATGCGTTGTGTATTTCGCTGGCAAACCTTGTGGAGGCGCTGCTGCCACCAGGCAGTCAAGATGAGTGAGCAATCCACAGATGATATCAAGTAACCTTTCATTCGCATAACTGAAACCGAAGAGACTTCGCTCCACAACGGTCTTCCGATTCCTGAAAATCACCCCCCCCTTCGCCCGAACCTTAATTGCTTAGACTCGTCCAGGCTTTTCGATTGCCTGAAAAAGCGACGGCGCCGACTCCGCTGTCGCGAGATTGAGATTGCTGAAAGCGGGAGGTCTCTCACCTGGGCGGCGCAACATCTCAGCTTGCGAGCTTCTTTTTGTGGCTCTACTGCTGTGCAAGGTGCTCGCAGCCATATCCCTTGTATATGTGTGTTTACCCCCATCGCCTTGTGAACAACAGTAACATAGCTGCAATGTGGTTGCAGCTCAGGGCTTTCAGGGTTGCCTTCCATGAATCAGTGGGCCACGGCGTTCTTGCACCAGCTATGAATGCTTGCCTGCTTTACCTAAGTCCACCACAAGCAGTATGGACACAGCAATACCATGGCAGTGGTGCCTTTGCGGCTTTGCATATGTGGATGCACTAACGACACTTATCCGTATCCATGATATTCACTGAAGATTCCGACACTCAGTGCATATTTGCCAGTAGCTGTTCAGGCATCTTTCGCAGCTTCGGTGGTACGTGCTAGGCATGATTATGCCGACGGTCGCTGGTCAACGGAATGTTGCTGCTGATAGTTGATGCTGATGATGATGCTAATGAGGATGCTGAAGTTGTTGTTGTAGTTGGTGATAATGATGATGACGAATAATACTATTATGATGACCATGCCGCAGAC